GGTCCTCTATAAGCAGCAACTGATCGCTGGGGAAAAGGTTTAGCAGAATGGGTTTCTCAACGAACTTATGTTCAAATTTCTAACAAGAGATATATTTTATATTTAATACTCACATTTGAGGGGGGAGGAAAAGAAAGGAGGCATGTAATTAATTGAAAAGAAAAATAAAAGAAATATAAAGATGAATTGTTGTTTATATGTAAAACTGATCTTATGTGAAAAAATATTACTTTTCCTATTCTAAATATAAAATTCATTTTGTAATATAAATCACATTATAAAATAGATCTTATGTTTAAAATCGGACGAATATTTATTTGCCATATGAGAAGGATTACAACCTATTAGGTGGACTAATTGTCAGGATATGTGGGTAATAGTTGACGTCGCAAGTGAAAAAGTAATCAAAAGCAAAAACTACCACTTCCTCCTCTTTGTCAGACGCTTTTAAGGAATTTTTCATCAGTTCCGGACTGTATTAACTACTCTCACCCTTGTATTTTATAAGAAACAATTACGCATTTTTTTCAGTAAAAAATAGATCAATTTAGTTAAGAATCTTAAATATGTATATGGGCAAAAAAAAAATTCTATAATACCCTTAAGAAATTTCTTTCCTTTAATACTAATAACTGTTGCAGATAAGTATAAGAGAAAATTTTTCTTATAATTAATAAGGGCATGAGTAGAAAATTTCAATAAATGTTTTAGATAAAAGCAAGCTGTTTTTTTTTTTTATATTTAAAAACAAAATTACAGCTTCATTTATTTTTTTTTATAAAAAGGAGGGAGGGACTATTATATGTTCATCAATTATATGTACCTTTATATTTACAATAAATATTATAGAGGTACAATATGTACACACATCACAGTAAATGCAGTTAATTACCACTCCCACTGGATTCCTCGGCATGGGTTACTACTCCCCGCGCTTTCCCATAAAGAATCATTTGAGTGATTTTCTCAAGCTTGCACTAAAAGGATCTATTCTTCTTCTTTTTTCTTTTTTTTTCCCCGGGACTGAGCACTAACAAGGTTATGTTTGGTCGGGATGCCGTGGTTCCCTAACATCAAGTTTCTTTTCTAAATTTTTCTTATGCATCAAAATATAAAATCATGAGTTCGACTTTTATATTTTAATGAGCACAATGTGTGGGTAAATTATGACCAAAAAATGTTTGAAATTTTTTTAAAACTTACAAGTTAATCACCTGTCTTTGTCGTGTAATAAAAAGCCATAAATAAAAGAAAACGGAGAATAAATATTCAGTTTGAGGCCTCTATTAATTGGTACTCTTTCAATCCTAAATACAAAAGTCATTTTGTTGTGTAATTTACACCACAAAACAGGTCTTATATTTAGGACCGAAGGAATAGTAACTTGATTTTTTACTAATACAGACATGAAGAAAATTGGCAACATCTTCAACATGAAAGATATATACTAATTTTAGCTTTTAATATAAGAGTTAGTTGACTAATTTGAGTAAATCAACAAAATTAGTTAAATTAGTTGTTTTTAATAAATAAACATAGTCTTACCCAAAAATTTTTTTTTGTTAATAACGTGTATTAACTAGAATTACCATTTGATGAAACTTTTAATATACGCAACTATTACAAGAACTATTTTAAAAAAATAGATAAATATGATAGATAAAATGAATTAAAATTTTATTTATTACAAAATTGAATATCAAATAACTCTTATATTAAGAATTAGAAGTAATGTGTGTAAGTGTATATACATAAACATATATATTTGCATGATTGAATTCACAAGAAGACTGTTACATGTTTTTTGTTCTGCGTGCGCGCTGTACAAATTTGAGAAATAAGTCATGTTGTTAATGTTCACAACGGCTTGCTGTAAATTTTATCATACATATTTGTTAATGATTTGATCACATGGAAGTAAAATGATGTTAGTGGAATTTCAAACTGCAAAAGAACCATATTTCAAACAAGATCATGAGGTAATTTGTAATTTCTCCCATATTTATAATTATCATCCTTCATTTTTCATGTATTTTATACATTTATTTGATCGTGTCAGAATTATAATGCTTTGAATTGCTTTGGTCACTGCTCAAACTTCAACCATATACTAGCTAGCCCAAAACGACGCATGTATTTTATATTATTTTACACATAATTTTTTTAAATATTTTTGAAATAAAATACATACAAGTCAACAAGAATATTATATGAAAATTCATTATTCTATTAAGGACAGCCGTTATACAGCTGTCTTTTAATTAAATTCTTCTCATTACATTAATTTACATATTTTATCTTTAAATCATTTATTTGAATAATTATATTAGCTCATTTCAAGCAATTCCTTGCCAATTAAATGTATCCTTATATGTTATATTTCGATACATCAAGAAGAGAGTATACAAATTTCTGTCCTATTTGAAAGAAAATAAATCGTGAACAAAAAAGGAAAAAATGAAATGAATATAATATTTTACCATATTTCTAATCCAAAATTTAATTTTCATAATATATTATAGATATTATATTTAGAACCTCATAATATAGTATTTTCATAATATGTTATAGATAGTTGGTTTGTGTTATACACCAGTGACTCTTATTGGCAAAAAAAAAAAAAAACGAGTGACTTTTAAATGCTGTTATGTATGGTTAATGTTCATCATACACTCATTACAACCAATTCTCCAATTCAGTCTTAATACCCGGATTTTATTATAAATATAATTACGGCTCATTATAGTTAGGCAAATGATGAAGTGAGGGAAAAAACCGCTGAAAAAAATTGGACAAAATTGACCGGTTTGACTGCAAAATCGGCAAACTATTCACTTGTCTGGTTTGGTTTGGATCCTAAACCAATTGAAAATTAAATCGGTGTCAACTTGATCGATCCAGTGTAAACTGGTGAAAACCAATTATGAACTGGTTTGGATGACTATATTGCTATTGTTTTTTTTTTTCATTTAACTCTTAATATCCTAGTCACTATAAATTTAAATAAATTTTATTGATAATTTTGATATCAATATTTATTAGTTTTAGTTATTAAAAAAATCATAAAGATCAAGATTCTCAATATTATTATACTTAGTTATTGTGATAGTCAAACTATCATTGTATTTTCTTGTATTTTATTATTAGTGACTATTAATGTTGTATTTTGTTATTTTTAATTAAATTATATTCTTTTAATATGATTGATTTGACTCCAAGTTGACATTGATATGATTCACTGACCCTTAAACCACCACCTCAACCAGTTTTAGTGTCTGATTTGATTTTTTATTCTTTGAAAAAAACGAGATGTCAATATTTAATCGGAAAATTGGTTATAATAAATATAAATAAATGGACCTAAGTTTTATTGCGCGGTTGGATATTATTCCGGCTAACATTAACAGCAAAGCATTTAAAAAACAAACAAATACAACTATACATGCAATCCAAGTCTCACACACACACACACATATTAAAAATAAAATATTTTCATCAACATCTAGATATTTATCATGTCAAGTTCTTCAATCACATAGGATATGTGTCATATTTTTAAAATATTATCATTTAATTATAAATTTTACATAAAAAAAGGATATATGATCATGTATTATCGGAAAACTTAAAAACTAGTTAGAGTTGAATTTAGTCATTTTTCTTATTGATTATAAAGGATTCTCATCAAGAAATAATTTTAATGTCACAATGCACATAATTAAAGACAGAATAGTTAAACAAATTTTGTTTAAAAAAATAGTTAACCAATATAACTAATTTTTTTAATATTTTAAAATTAGTTATCTAACTCTTATATTAGGAGTTGAAAATAGTACAAGGAACATAAATAACTTAATATGAAAGTATTGGTTATATTAAAAATAATAACAACAATATTCCTGACAAAACAAGCCCAACAAGCCCGGCCAGGTTAGCGCCCAAATTTGTTTCGATCCTCAGTTTAGCCATGACACGCACGAAGTCAACGAAGAAATCCTCACGCACTTATTATGACCTACGTGGTGATTGGTGCTTCCTCGTAGAAAAGGACAAACATTTACGAGCATTAATGTCATTTGATGTTCCTCCTAATGATTCATCCCTTGCTTTCCAAAACTTCTGCAAACCCTACCACCCTTCCTCCTCCCCTCTTCATTTTTCCTCACTGCTTTTCAAACACCTGAAAGCTTCCTTTCTTTTCTCTCTTGTTTTCTCAGAAGATAGAAAAAAAGGCCATGCAAGACTTCTCTGGAGATTCCACCTCCAAGGCTTCCTCGCCTAAGCCTACTCCTTCTGATAATAGGCCTCAAACCACCAGAGGGAGAGGAAGACCTGCCGGTGACAACATCAGAATTCCCTGGCAAGTGTTGGAACTCACCGCCAGTGCCACCGCCGCAGGCGGTGGTGGCGGTAGCAGCACCGGAGGATCAGTAGTGAGTGAGGTGAAGAAGCCAGATGATCCAAATCGAAGCGAGGGATCAAGGAGGGTGGTTAGTCACAAGCGAAAGCATTCTGACATCATCATAGAGCATTCATCAAGTCACCAGCATCCTCGTTCGCTCCAACCACAACCTGTTTCTCCCACAAAATCTCCTGTTCAACAAGAAGCTTCAGGTCATGAGACACCTGCTAATAGAATACCAAAGCTAGGATAATCCTTGATTCTCTCTAACGAAGCACAATTCCTTAAAAGTAAAAATACATTGTTATATTAGACATATCATACATCATTTTACATCGAGTATTGTCGTTTTCCGGTGTGCTTGCTGGTATTCATGGTCTCTCCAATTGTCTGTGTATGCATTTCCAGCCCTCAAAGCACAGTAATAATGGGTTATTTTCTAAAATGTTTGTTTTGTCTGGGTAACTGTGAGATGATAGAATTTCCCGAGTCATCTCGATAAAAGTGAGCGAAAAAAAACTTCTTGAAGGGGCTGAAAATTGACAGTACAGAGTCATCTTGCATTGTTGATTATATTTGTTGCTAATGTAAATGGAGAATGGGATATGCAGGTGATTGTGATGATGATGCTGTGAAGCACTCTTCTGACGATGTTGCTTCACAAGAAAATGCCAAAATGAAGCCTTCTGCTGCTGTTGTCTCCGAGAAGGAGCAAATTGGAGTGAAGCCTTTTGAAGCTGCTAAAGAAAAGAATGAAGAGAACCCTTCTGCTGATGCTGATGTTGCTGATGATGAGGATGAGAAAGATATGGAGTTTTCTGAGGCTGTTAAAGAAGAGAGCAAAGAGGAGCCTTCTGTTGATGGCGCTGTTATTAATGATGAGGAAGACAAAGAAATGGAGTGTCTTGAAGCTGCTGAAGAAAAGAAAGAAGAGGACCCTTCTGATAATAATGCTTTTACTGATGTGGAAAACAAAGAAATGGAGTCTTCTGAAGAAGCTGCTGAAGAGAAGAAGGAAGACGAGCCTTCTGCTGATAAGGGAGGAAAAGACAAGGAGGGTTTTGAAACTGGTGAAGAAAAGAATGAAAAAGAATCTTCTGCTGATAAGGAGTCCGGTGTTGAAACTGCTGAAGAAAAACATGAAGAGGAGCCTTCTGGTGCTGCTGGAGAGAAACCTGCTGTAAAAGAGTCTTCTGATGCTGCACATAAACGTATGAAGTTTCTATTTGACCTCAACGAGCTTCCTGGTGATGAAGATGATGAAGACATGCCTTAAACTTGTAACTTAGGCGTTCTAGATTTATGTTCCTGATAAGGGTCGTCATCATATAATTAGGTATCACTCAAGCCTTTTCAATTTATGCTAGTTTGCTCTCGACTTATATTCCTGAGACGCATAATTTAGTACTATTACTCAAGCCTTTTCGACCTATGCAAGCTAGTTATATTTGACATTCCAAAAACATGAGGATGTTTATGGGTTTTCTTTACTGTTTTGTATGGTTTATACATATTTCTGGACGTGCTTTGCGAGAATATGATGCTTGCATCATATGAGAAAAAAACCTTCTCTATTGATTCCCATTTGTTTTTTAAAAAACATATTTACAGCAATTTGAACAACTCAATCAAAGAATAGTCAAGTGTTTTGAAAGAGATTCAGCCTGGCACTTCAAAATCAACAGATCCTTCGCGTGTTCAACCAAAACTCTTGTACTTAGAATTTATACTTGAAACTATATATATACATATTATATATATATGAAGTTCTGTAGATGATTTGTTTTGAAAAGAAGGCACACACTTTTGAGAGAATTGGACTGAGTCATGTTGAGCTTATCCAAGTTTGCTAGCTAGCAATGTTTTAATGGGGTAAAGCTGAGGGAGATTAGAGTACAGCGTATGCAATCCCGCTTCTCTCCACTTCATTTCTCTCTGTTTTTTTTTCCTTCTCTGGGTTCCTAAATAGATATTTTAAAATGTTAACATCTCCCTACTTTCATATAAAACATTAAGTTAAATTTGCCTCCCAATCTTACCAAACAGTACAAATACTTCATATAGGGGAGATCAAGTTCCATGACCTCAAAGCTCCTGCGAATTAAAGTTATATCGAGGTGAATAAATGCCATATTCATTGCCTCAAGATCCAATACGTTACGTGTGTCTAATTTTCATCATTTCAATGTGTTTTTGATTTCATGTTAGAAGCCATAAAAATTATGGTTTACGTGATTTTTAACGTGAAACTTAACGTTATTCCTAATTTCAGTAAGTGAAAAAAAAAAAAAATTCAACACTAGATTTAGTATCTAATTTCATTATTATATATCTACAACATTGCATATCCAACCTTATATATCACTTTTGAAAGATTACAATATGTGCGCGAACCGCTAGTTTGATCAGAAGCACTCCTCCGATCCTAAATAATAACGCAACGTTATTTGGTTGCTGCTTTTATTTTGTTTTCCCGGGGCGGGTTTGACTCTTTTTTCCCCACCTGGAAATTTGTTCCCTCTCTTTCTTGCCAGCTGGCGTTAATACTAGTTTTATTATTGTATGAGATCATCCTAATAGGATTTTAACTTGAAACATGTTTTTTTAAAATTTATTTGTTCCCCTGGCATTCTTGTTGCTACACCACACCTTATTATTTGCATCGTCCCCAGGTGGTAATATAACTCAAATAGAGGAATTAACTGTATTCTTGTAGTCTTGTTCGTGTGTATAATTAATAATAGGGGAAGTTCTTCGTCTTGTTCATATATGATGTGTGTGTGTGTGTGTGTGTAATAAATACACAAGGCTATCCATATTTTGACCTTGATGTGTGTGTGTGTGTAACTTTAAATGCTATATTTACGTGTAATAATATGCAGTAATAAGATGCATAATGTACGTATCCATCATGGCATTTAATATTCTTAAAAAAACAAAAAAAAAACAAAATCATCCATAGGAATTCATAAATAAAAGTCGCACTACAAGATGGCTTTGTGATATTAGAGTTTAGTAACTCTGAAATTAGCTGGATTTTTTGACATAGCTGATAATCCATGAAAGCAAATCATCTTAATGTGGAAATCAAACACACAAAAATCACACTGTTTACAAATCACGAGCAACATAACTTATTTGAAATTTTGTGCAAATGCACCAGGCACGTACTCTAGCTAGTTGAAGAAATTTCTCTATTTGACATCAACCAGCTTCACGCTTGAAGATGAAGACGTGCCTTAAACTTGTAACTTAGGTGTTCTGGACTTAATTATATTCCTGAGGGTCATATAATTAAGTACTCCTCCGATCCTTAATATAGGACTCAATTCTTGAGTATATTTTGGTTCTAAATATAAGACCCATTTTTCATATTTATCAATTTTCTCTAAATTACCCTTATGGATACTCCCTCAACCATAATCAAGTAGAAGAGGGAGATGGGGTATTAAGAAAGATGATTATGGTGTTTTAGAAAAAATGTGTCACTTTTCTTATAATTAACTAACTTACCTAAGTTCCTTAATCTAATTAAATTAGTTAAATGGGTCTTATATTAAGGACCGGAGGAGCATTATATATACTCAAGCCTTTCGGTATGCGCTAGTTTTAGTTGTTCTCAACTTTTATTCCGTGATGGACATAATTTAGTGCTACCATTTGGTTCTTAATACTACTTTTGGTCTTTAATATAAGAATTAGTTTGACTTTTAATTTGATCTTAAATATAAGACCCAAATTTTTGTCTTTTATATTTATCTATTTTTTCAAAATAACCCTTATAGTTGTTGCATATGTTAAATACTTAATTAAATAATACTTGATTAGTAAGAATATTTTAGGTAAAATAATATTTATTTATTACGAATAACTAACTTAACTAATTTTCTTAATATACTCAAAATAGTCAACTAACTCTTATGTTAAAGACCGAAGGTAGTATAAAAGCTAGTTTGACTTTTAATTTGGTTCTTAATATAAGACCCAAATCCACTTTGTTTCTTATATTTATCTTTTTCTTTTTAAGTTACACATGTTAAAGGTTTTATCAAATGGTAATTTTAACTAATTAATACATATGATTAGCAAGAGTATTTTAGAAAAGGTAACACATTCATTAAAAATAACTAACTTAACTAATTTTTTTTAATCTATTCATACTTAAATTAGCTAACTAACTCTTATATTAAATATTAGGTCACTACAGCCTTTATGATATGGGGCGCTTCTATCTTGATGTGTTGATGGACTGTGTTTACAGCAACTTAAACAACCCATTGTGTCAATTCTTTGGCCTCTCACCACTATTTTATTACTCTTTTGATTTTAAATATAAAATCTATTTTGTAATGTAATAATATAATTTACATTACAAAATATGTTCTATATCTAGGACCGGAGTAGTATTATATTGATGTTCCTTTCACGGTTATATGCTTCCTTTAGTTCTATCTTCCATGGATATAATCAACTAATTTATTTGAAAAGTACAAAAACTTCATGGGAGAGAAGGAAGAGGTGAGGGAGCGCGGGGGGAGAAAATGAATTTTAATGTGTGCAAGATCTAATTAATAGGTTAGGGCAGGCTTAATGTTCATCATTTAGCTGTTTTAATGCGTAGTTAATTTTACGTTATTATTAGAAACAATCGAAACTATAATTTATGTTATTGGTTTTACCATGAAAACTAATTAAACATGCATTTAGATTAGATTTGTAGACTATTCCTCCGCTCAACAATATTGTCCTTTATGATAAACTAATCCCTGAAGTCAATAAATCCAACAGCACGGACCTATTTTTGTAAATAACAAATTATTCAGCACTAGATCATGTAAATTGTCAGGCATAGAGACAATAATCATATTATTGCTACGATATAATCCTAGTTTTAACTTGAAACATGTTTTGTAAATTTATTTGTTCCCTGACTATATTCTTGTTGCCATATGTATTAAATAATAAAACTTACCAAGAGAGAAGTTAACCGTACTCTTGGTTATTATATATATTTCGTCTTGCTCATGAAATATATAAATACAGCTAATAATAGATATGGTTATCCATATTTTGATTTGATCTTGGGATTTAATTAACTTTTAATGCCATATACGATATAAGTGTGTAATAATATGATCCACATAATAATATGCAGTAATATAATATGGCATTCATGTGTAAGAATCCATCATGGTATTTATTCTAAAAAAAACTATCATGTCTATAGGAATTTATAACTAAAACCTTTATAAGATAGCTTCGTCATAATAATAATAATAATAATAAAAGATCATAAATAAGTATCCCAGAGCTGAATGTCTGAAAGCAAATTAACCTTGCTTATGTAATGTGGAAATTAAACATTCTAAAATAGTAGACATATATAATTTACCAGTAACGAACAGTATGACTCATTTGAAATTTTAGGTTGTGCAAATACACACGAGGCCCACTCTACTTGAAGAGATGGATACAGAGATCATGAAGAGACAATAATTTTGCAACAAAACATCGTACTGTTAGACAAAGATTTTATAGTCCTTTGACACCAAAGTTGTATTTTAATTTGTTCACTTGGGTGAACGTTGGCCATGTCAATTTCTCCAATTCAGCGACAATAAGACGCAATTCTTGTTAATTTTGAAGTGCCTGGGTTGCATAGCGTAGTGCTGATTTGAATTATTAATTATGGCCGAGCGGCAAACTAAACCATAACTTCACACAAACACTGCAATGGTAAACTCACTTGTTCAATTCCTTTTTTTTTCCCCTTACCAGCAATTCCATTTTATTTTACATGGCAAAAAACGGGCATCAATAAATATACTCCTCCGGTCCCAACTATAAAATCATCTTTATAATATGTATAATGGTCTTATATTTAGAACCGGAGGAATAGAAAAATCAGAAGGTAAAAAGGAATGCTAATTAAACTATAAGAATCATTTTTTGTGGCTTAAAAAATGAACCAATGGGCCATTTAAACACTGTCTTTTAAATTTAAGATAAAATACGCCTATACCCATTACCCATCTATATATAATCTCTAATTAAGAGAACTTTTCTGCCCTAAATTGCCTAAAAATCATTGTGATTTTTTTCCATTTCCTAACAAAATTTCAAAACTAATTTTTTTTTTTAGATTAAAAGAAGAGAGAAAAACAAAGAGAGGCACGAGATGGCGACAAAGGTAAACTCATAATCTACCACGCTTATCATCAAACGGTGGAATTCAAAATTTTCAGACGTGGAAATCGATCTGATCATACCTACAATAATCTATTTCACATTTGAAAATTATCGGGTAATTTTGAAGACTCCAAACTCTCATCAATCTACTTGAGTACAACATATTTGTTCAAAACCCTAAGTACAATCCGTAAATGATTGTGTGTGTGTGTGTGTGTGTGAACTATGACTCTTATCGGGGGAAAAATGAACGATGAGGGTGACTTGGGCGTGCTTGAGGAAGATAAAAAATGAACTGAAATCTGTTGTTTCAAAAACATCATAAAACGACTCTTATGATACAAAGGCGCAGGTTCAAGAACATATGCATAGGAGTACTTGAAAGCCACAAGAGTAGGCATTAATATGGATTAAACTAATTGTCCTGAGACGACATGTTTCCAGTAAAATAGAACGATTTATGAGAGGGAGAGGAAGAAGAACGTGAAGGTCATACCTTATAATTGCTACAAGCTCAGAAGCCATCTTTCTGTCGGATAACCTTTAAGAAATTAAACACTTACGCATCGTTCACAAATGAAGGTACTATATACACACACACTTAAACACAAATAAACAAGTCCGTAGTACGATGAAAAGACACAAGAGTGAAAGATGAAGGAACCAATTTTACACATGGAGGTTTTTACTGGATTCCAATTAAAAACGAAGACAGACCATGTAATACCAATATAAGATGTTCATAATAATACTTAGGGCTTGTGTTGATGATGATCATCTTCTTCAGAAGCAGGAAGTTCGTTCAGGTCAAACCCAACTTTCTTTTCCTCTTGAGCAGCACTCCTTTCTGCAGCCAAAGAAGTAGAGTCCAGTGCTTGGTTTCTCTGTACAGCCTCAGAATTAGAAGATTCCACTTCCTCCGTAGTCGGCTGATTCAGATCAAACCCAACCCCTCCGGCACCCGATGATCCTCCCTTCTGCCCTCCACCTTGTTCTTCCACACCTGTATTAATATTCTCTCCTGCAGCTATACACACACACATCATTGAAAATCTTCACGTGAATATTTTGTTAGTTTTGCCTTCAATAATAAAACTTTATATATATATATATATATATGTGTGTATGTGTACTCAGAATTTGACCTCTCAATGATGACAGTTATTAGTTTCAGATAATTTGTTTCCCGACGAGCATTTCTAATGAGCAAAAATATATGAATATCCTGCGACTTTCGTATGATTCTAGGATTAGGGTTCTTTTTTACCTAGGCGAACGCGTTGCCTTGTTGGTGATGATGAAGAAGAGGAAGTAGGAGGTCTGAAGAAACCTCGATAATCGCGTTCCGGGTGCGCCCTCATATGTCCAAACGCAGCTTTCCAACTGGGAAACTCTTTCCCGCACTCGTTGCATTTGGGTGGCCACGGCGGAGGATCTGACAGTTGAGACGACTTCCGCTTCTGCTTACCCGGTTTCTCCCCCGGCTTTGAAGCCACCGACGACCCACCTTCCACCACCATCACTCCACCTTCCACACTCACCACCGCCGCAGAGGACCCACCTTCACCACCGGCTGCTCCCGCCACTGAAGATCCATCACCAACAGGAGTAGGGTCCACCACTTGGACTATTCTAGCATCGGAGCCGGCGATACCTCCTACGCTGCTTCCTCCTCCTCCGGTTGCGGTGACATCACCGGCGACAGTTTGAGTGGGGCCAGGAGGAGGAGGGGGTTGATCAGGATGAGAGGAAGAAGGAGACTTAGTAGTGGTTGTGGAATCTTTGCCAGGGTTTTGCATTGGCTACAGAGTATAACAGAAAGCAGCAAAAACAAAAACCTTAACTCTGGGATGGAAAGAGACGAGAGTATGGGATTGTGTTGCTTTGATGGAAACGAGGTTATGTATTAATGACAGTGCAATGAATATAACATTAGGAAGGAACAAACATGTGGGAACGTAAAAAGATAGACTCCGTTCACAACGTTTCAGAAATGACTTAATTTCCTTTTAGTCTAATCATGATCGACGATTCATTCGTCAGTTCAAGCGTACGTGCCTAAAGTACGTGCGAGTTGCCACCTTGATTCGGCCACATCACAGCTCTATGGATTTCTTCCTCTTTAATTATATGTTACCATGTGTTCTTCTATTGAAATGGTTATTTTTCCCAAAGAAAGGTAATATATATAATGCTTATACTTAGAAAATGAGGGGAAATGAAAAGATACAGTTTTAAAATCTTTTTATAAGATTAACATAGTTGTCGTGAACTTTTTATTTTTGTTTAAAAAAATGAGGTGAGCTGCCAGAATTTACAAAAACCAGGATATGTTTTAAGACTAAAAAATATACTCACTAAGATATTTACAAATCGCACATCAATTTATTATCAAAAGTGTTTGATAGTGATCCGTTTAGAACATCACATTTGGTCTATTGTGCAGCAATCTGACCTTGACTATTCCGGTATTAATGAAAGTTTTTAATCATTGTTGTTTAATTTGTTCTCTTTACTTTTGACCTATTTTTCATAGTGTATCCTCCACACTCCCATTAATAGGTGTGAAGTTCCAACGATTACTCCTCTGCTCATATTTAGAAGCAGAGGAAATTTTGTGTTTAAGATAAGTAATCTTATTAGATTTATTGTATAAATGTATATTTTTATTCCTAATTTATTATTATGTGAATTGTTATTTTATAAAGTGTATATATAAATAGGGGCAAATTTAAAAAATTATTAATTTTTAAAGTAAAATAAATAAAATTTAAAATTCTTCTTGATTCCAATAAAATATATAAGAAGTGCTTTATAAATAGAATTAAAAACGTATAAATTACTGACCTCCTAAATATTCTTGCCTTCTTCAAAGCTTATAGATTTAAAACTTTCCAATTTTTAAACTATATTTAAGGACAATTTGATCTCCTAATATATATTCATTTATATTGCATCAATATACAATTTATAATTTATAATAACTTATTTACCATTTACAAATTATAATTAAATACTTTGAAGAGTTACTCTTTTTTGATAGCATTTTGAAGAGCTATTCTAAAATTTTAAAATCAAAACGAACTTCTTCTTCTTCTTCTTCTTTTAACAACTAAAACGAATTTCTTCTAAAGCTTACTTGAAAGGTTCGCGATCTCACCATAAGACTGAAATTGTGTCGCCTTTAATAAACAAACATTTCGGCTTTCGATATTTTATTTAGTCGATGGTAATATAATTTAAGCATCTATGAGTAATGATTACAAAATTAAGATGATTTTTAGTCATAGTAACCAAGAACATATGTGAACCATTTGCATTCAAAGCTCATCCTTTATTTGAAAGAAAATAATAAATTAAAAGGAAAAGGGTTAATGACACTAAAAAGGGGAAGAGAATTAATTGGTAGGATATGTCCCAATATATTTCAATGTGCCTAGATTCATTGACAACTATAGTTCAATTTGGCCACTTCTTCTTTTTATACTCTGTTAATTTTGGTAACAAAAAGGCTTGCATATGTATAACCACATTCCCATTTTGAAATCAAACAGTCTGCACATTTATTGCTCTTTTTTATTTTTTATTTTTAAAAATCTTCCATATTCAACTTAATAAGTGAGAGGCAAGGCCAAGAAGCTCACATCGACTAAACAAATGAGACTCCATACATGTGGCCCCTTTGATTTGCTCATCCATATTGCTAAGTATAAACGAGTCGTGTTTAAAGATTATTCAGCAATTTTGTAAGGCTTATATATTTTCATTTTAAGATCCTTTATTTTATTCAGAATTCGTGCATCGCTCATTTATTCAACACGAAGAGTCGTCTTTCACTTCTGCAGTTCAAAACGAATTTTAAAGATTCACCAGTGGCGAATTTCAAATAATAAATGGGTTTAAATAATTTGATTGGTTGCTATTGCAGAGCAGAATAGTATATTAAGAAGTTGGCGGGGCAAAAAGAATAATCTACTAAGAAAGTACTACGTCATCTCATCGGATGAAATTGTACTAACAGCCCAATCCAGCGTTCTCAGTACATGCTTGATCTCTTCGATTTTTAAATGGGAAAAATCCCCCATAGTGAATTTTTCATAGGTGCCTCTCAATTCTACAAGACTATGGCCTGTCTCTTTCCTCAAACCGCTATCCTTCAGCATCTTTCTCGATTTAGCAGCCTCATCCCACTTCTCATCTGAAGCATATAAGCTTGATAACAAGACATAAGGTGAAGAACTTGCAGGTTGATCTTGAAGAAGCTGCCTAGCTAGGCGTTCCCCTGTGGTTGTATTTCCATGCAGCCTACAAGCTGAAAGCAAGCTCCCTAACACAATTGGATCATTCCATTGATGGAATTCCTCCATGTACTCTTCTGCTTCAGATAATCTTCCAGCTCGTCCAAGCATGTCGATGAGACATGAGACATGCTCAATGTTGGGGGTTATCCCATACTTTTCTTCCATGGAATTGAAGTAAAGTTTGCCCTTGTCTACCAATCCTGCATGGTTGCAAGCAATTAATAGTGCAACAAAAGTAATTGAATCTGGTTTTACACCTGCTGCCTTCATCTGCTCAAAAGTTCCAATGGCTCTATCACCAAAACCGTGATTTCCAAATGCAGCAATCATAGCATTCCATGAGATGAGGTTATGACAGGACATCTTATCGAATAAATTATAAGCATACTCAACAGAACCACTTTTAGCATACATGCTCACTAGAGCATTACTAACTCCTATGTCTTGATACTCTCTTGCTCTAATTAGATAAGCATGAATTTGCTTTCCTAAGAGAACAGAGGCATTCGAAGCACAGGCAGTAAGGATACTAGCAAATGTGAAGTCATCTGGCCTTAGGCTACGTTCATTCCTCATCTCTCTGAAAAACTTGAAACATTTAGTTTGGTCTGATGAATGAGAAAACGCAGAAATTATAGTGTTCCAGGAAATAACATCTCTGTCTTTGATCACTCTAAAAGCCTTCTCCACTTCTTTAATGAAATTAGACTTCGCATACATTGCCATGACCACATTGCCAACAAGGGGGTTGGAGTCCAATTTCAGCTTAATGGTCTGGCAATGTAATAACATCCCTGTTCTTAAATCATTTGATTCAGTGCAAAACCCTAACAATCCCGTAAATGTGAAAGAATCAGGAACAAGACCCTGTTGATGCATATATTTGAACAACTCAAACCCTTTTTCAGGTTCATGGTTTTCAACATACCCAGTGATGAGAGCATTATAAGAAACAGAATTCGGATTCACCACATTGTTATAAACTGATAAAGCATATCTACATTGACCGCATTTCATATACATAGAGATAAGTGAGTTAGAAACATAGGAAATGCATTCATAACCAGACTTGAGTGTCTGAGCATGAATCTGCAACCCCAGCTCTAAAGCTGCAAGACTTGCACAAGCACTGACCGCACTAGCAAAAGTGTATTCGTTAGGGGCAAGCTGCATTTTAGAAAACAGATCAAGAGCTAACCAGTGTTCCCCGCATTGATCATATCCAGATATCATAGCGGACCACGATATAAGATTGCGTCCAGACATTTCGTCAAACAATTTCCGTGCAAGGGAGATGGAACCGCATTTGGCATACATATTGAGAACATGGTTGGAGATGAAAACATTATCTTGCAAGCCAGTCTTCAGAACAACAGCGTGAAGTGAAAGACCATGCCAAAAGGCCTTAGTTTTGGAGCAGTGGTGTAAGAGTGATACAATTGCTTCCGGTATCATCGGAATCCATCTGCGTTGAAGTCGTCTGCAACATAAACACAGAAACACAGGTGCCTCTCCTGGTTCAAATGATCATGAAGATTGAAGGCGCTGATCACTCTACTTCTAAAGAAGAAGAAGAGGTCTTAATAAGAAATATAAAGGGAATGAAGGAGCAATTGTTGGAAAGGGAAGACCGTATAATACTACAAGAAGACAAGGAAATATATTAATTAGAGGCAGAGAGGCACACATGCAGACCCAATGAGCAGAGATGCAGACAACGAAGGACGGCGAACAACGAGGGGCAGAGATGCAGACACTGTCACATAGACGCCAACGAACGGCGCACACGCAAACAACGGCGAGAGGCAGAGGCAGCAGAGACGAGGGGCAGAGGCAGAGGCAGAGTCGCAGTCGCAGAGACAATCAGAGTACCAAACTGGAAGAACAGGCAAGAGGGTGGGTGAGGATGGGGTGGTCGAGGCCGTCGCCGTCGAGCTCGAGCGTGAAGAGCGAAGCGGGCTTCTTAATTCTGAGCAGTGAGGCAGCAAGTTACGTAGTCTTTTTCCGGCCGCCGTAGCTCCTGAAGTCTGAGCTCTATTTACTATTCAACCCCGCCAGTTTGGACCCCCTTTTTAGGCGGGTTCCGGCTGGGCCAAATTGACCGGTACAAATAGGTCCTCCCGGTTCGCGGCCTGCTCAGTCGCCAAAAAAAAAAGAAGAATTATTTACAAAAACTGACGATAGTATTTCTCTTGATGGCCGTCCAATTTCAACTCTGTTATTCAAATCCAAAGGTGTTGCATGACTTCACAGCGCTCCTGTGTTGACCACGTCACAGGGTTCTCCATAAAAAGTACCGTAGCTCACGGACTTCCTCTAAAACTCCGACACGTGTAATCAAATAAAAGTCGTCCGGCATCGTTTTAGCGCAAACGGTCGCCGGTATTTGCTGGGAGCTTTAACTCTGTTTGGAATCATCACTTCCACTTTGTAGTTTGGCCGTAGCTACTCATGCGAGCTATGAGCATTCCAAACACGCCCTTAGCCCCGCAGCAGTTGTAATTCCCCGTCACACGTTGAGGCAAGCCAAACTTTTGCTGCTTCGCTTTTTTTTCCTTGGGCATTGGGATCTTACTTCTTTTTAGTTTTTACGCGAAGTTTTGGTTGAGATCTTCTAGCAGGTGTATTTTGTCCTCCACTTCTGCGTTTTTTCCATAGATTTTGTTCTTTCTGGGCCCACTTCTTGATAGTAACTGAATGTTATTGGGAAATGGAGCAATTCTTTGATTCATTGTTTTAGCGGGAACTTGATCTTCAATCAAGATTTCCTGAAAATTTGCTCCGATCTTCTTGTCATCCAAATCGATTAGAGCTTCTCTGAACGAGACGTTTTCTCAGTTTTCTTGGTGTCCAAACATGAACAGAATATAGTTTTGAGCTTCAGTTGATGATTTCTAGCAGTTTTTTTTTTTTTGGGTGTATGTTGGGGGTATAACTTTGTTCTTATTTTCAGCGAGCTACAATTTCAATAAGGATGGACAAGGCAGATTCTGGACAGAAGCTATACACGCGAATGCGACTCTGGGAGTTCCCAGATCAGTATGTCATTGAGCCCACGGATGGGTCTTCTGGTTCTTCGTTGACAGTGAGTCGAGTGGATGGCTCGATGAAGCTTATTGGTTAGTTGTTCCTCTGTGTCTTCTGGCTTCATCGTGTGCTTCTCGCTGCAAATTCATCATCTCTTTTGCTTCTTCTGAGACATCATTCCCCTCCCCCCGGGGCCCCGGGCGGGAGGTGTTTTTGCTTTACCAGATGCGATTCCAGAATGCAACAAGCTTCGAGTTCCGAAGATTTGGACAGTTTTCGGTGTGGTTGGGATGATAAGGCTCTTGGCTGGTGAGCAATGTTGGAAAATTAATGGTGATTTGTTGATGGGTTTTGTGAATCAGATTATTAAATTATTTATTTGTTTTTCATAATCATATGCCTGGATTACCTGCTTCCTTTAATACTATAAATAAACGAGTTCTAATAATTAGAACCGGAGGCAGTACACCTGGATTTTGTTGTACTCAATTTCATCCATGTGATTGTCCCTTACATTCTGGTATGTTATGGCTCATTTTGGGGAGATCACAGCCGAGATCGTCAAACGATAGATGATTATTGACATTGAATACAGATGAAGGCAAAAATAAGATAAAATTCTGACGATGTATTCGTCGGAAGATTAAAGGAGAGTTTCCCTCTTTATTCAAAAGGAAGTGAAGTTAATGATAAAAATAGATATACATTGATATTGAGTCCTTCAACTTTATATTAGCAGTGTCCTTGGCCTGTAGTATTTTTTGCTTAAATCTGTGATTTTGGTCCTCGTAGATATAACCGAAACTTGTGTAGATCTCATCTTCATTCATGAACTTCCTTGCGAAATTAGATATATTCTGTATCCTTTTCGTCTGTGTGCTGCATTCTGGCCAGTCATTTTGATATGCTTTGTCATTTTTAGGATCATACTTGCTGGTTATAACTGATCGTGAATGTGTTGGATCTTATTTGGGTCATCCAATTTACAAAGTTTCATCTATGAAGGTTTTTCCATGTGATCATTCTCTCAATAATACCACTGCTGAACAGGTAAGACTGCAACACTCCCATTTATCTGTTTATGTTTACTTTCTATGCCCACTGTATGTTTGAAATCCATGCTGTCCTACCATTGGGCAGAAAAAGACCGAGTTGGAGTTTTCCAAGCTGCTAAACATTGCAGAGAAAACGTCTGGTCTGTTCTTCTCATATGAAACCAACTTAACACTGAGGTAAATTAGCATTATGGCGGTCATCCTAATTTATGTGTGCATATAGTAAAATGTGATTTTGATTCTTAAGTTTTCTTTCTTACCTATGACAAGGTGCACTAAGACATAAAAGAACGAAGCAGGTACATGATGTAACTTTGATTAGTTAATGGGTGCAATCTTGGAACCTTCATAGTTTTTTCTTCCTTGCATATAATATGCTACTTTTAGCATGGCGCTAAAAATGACCCCGCATCAGTCTTTGGCATTAAGTGATCAAATTGGGTTTTAGTTTAAGCATGTTTAGGTCATCTGTAAAAAAATTGAGCATGTCTTGATATTGTTGTAAGCTCATTCTGGATCTGTACCTTAAGGAGAACTGAAATTATTTTCTCGGGTCAATTGTAAACCTATAAATCTAGGATAGAGACTTATTTTTATATTTATATTGCTTATTTTTTTCCATTTCAAGGAGAGGGAATGATCTTGCATTTTGGGAATCTAGCTGTATAGTCGAGAAATCACAGTTCATTGCCATCTTGGTTTTAAGGTTTAAGTCTAGTGGCTACAATACTTAGTACACTAAAGTGAGAACCTTTCAACTGTCTGAATTGTTTTATGATAACTTTGATTAAAAGTTCAAAATGGAATAACTTCCTTTGTTCTAGGTACTGTACCCACCAATATTGTAATTACTCCTCCTCTTTATGTACCCGCATCTCTGCAAAAATGATGGCCATAATGATTCCTTGGCTGGTCTCTGTCAAGGGACTGCTAAATTTATGCTCCATATGAACCAGATAAAAACCCTATAGGGGAAGTATGATATCGGGAAATTTAAGTTTCCAACAGATTCAGTGGTCTAACTCATCCTGATGCCAAGCAAATTATTCTTGAAATCACGCACCAGTCCTGGAAAACATAATTATTTTCTATTCTTTACATTTTAAATGGAGAGACATAATAAATGTGAAAAAATATTGTGATATGATATTTAATCATATATTGCAGTGCCCAGCGATTGAATGACCTTGGTGATGAATCCAGATTGCTTCCTCTTTGGCGACAGGTAGTTCATTACCTTTTGTTTTGCCACTAACCTTATGTTTTAGTTATCGCAAGAGTACTGATTCCAAGGTGAAAAAATAATCTCATTTTCCACTTGAGGCTGGCTTTGATTTTGGGGATGGGTCAGGGTGGGAGTACTAATCAAGGGTTCAAACCCGCTTTATATAACATGATGTCTATTGAAAATATCAATAGTGGTTGATACCTCATGATGCATGTGTAAAATGTCCAGTATGGAACTATGGGTTAGTTCTTTCTGCAACTTTTAGTTTACTCTATTATTCCTATCATGCCTTCAAAATCTTCTTTGCAGGCTGAGCCACGATTTCTATGGAACAATTATTTGCTGGAAGTACTCATAGATAACAAGGTGGGTTTAAGGGAAGCTTGTTGCTGCTTGTTGATCTAGTTGGCATTGATACACTTTTATACCCAATAACCAACTTACAAATGCGTGATCTTGTGGATGCAGCTCGATCCATTCTTACTCCCTGTGATACAAGGAAGTATCCTTATTTTTGTGTTGTTTTTCTCATTTTATAGTTGTTTGTGACACATTATTTTATTTTTGGTGTTTTGGATTGAAAGTCACCTGGACATATTCTTCGTTGGCCCCTTTTGGACTGCGGGTCTATTTGGTTTGATGAATTGCAACTTTGCATTTTTTCTGTGGGGATCACTTGACTATTTCATCCTAGGGTCTTCCTTAATTATTTATCAGGTTTTCATTACTTTCAAGCAGCAATTGGAAAGGATATTATTGATGTCACTTTGATTGCCAGGAGATGCACGAGAAGAAATGGTATTTATTATTTACTGATTTCAGATAAATCTCTATTTATTTCCACATGATGTGCACATAGTTATCTACACTGTTTTTTTTTTTTTTTTGAACCATTGATGGAATGACTGCCTTTTAGATCATGACATTATGGGTGCTTAATTTGGTGATGATAATGAAATGAAAGCCATCAATGAAGGCTATTGTTATTTGCAGCCTTTTGACTGACAGGTCTACAATTCTGTGAATTAGAAGAAACCAAGATAAATTTATATGGAAGATTGGTGAGATAGTTTGTGCTCCTAAATACTTGTGTCCTCTGCTGGTGTAAGTTTCCCTGAAGAAAAGTATTATTTTGGTAGTGGTCTTTTCTGGAAAGGAGAAAAATTTGTTGAAGTTGATTGTGGATACTTGTTGATGAACTGGTGAAGACACGCGAGAGAGTGACAATTGTTTCAGAGTTTGGCCTCTGAGGTACCGGGGTAGATATGGTGGAAATATGCATTTTCAGAAGCGGAGAATATTAACTTGAAGAATTGAGGTGTGGGAGCATTTGGCTCAACTGTAACTAAAAGCATCACTTGTAATAATCTTTGACGAAACTGTCGCACTAATGTACTTATTTGAAATCACTGAAATTATCTGCTTCTTGTTTCCAGTGAGATAACTGAGGAAAATTGCAAGTGGAAAGATATGTCACAAATAAGGATGAGGAAATATTTTGTCTGGGTTTATGTTAGCATTAAAATTTACATTCTGAGGTCAAAATTATTCCTACACAGAAAGTTTTTTATTTCAAAACTTGTGCCGTCATTTCTTGCTGTTTGAACACAACATTACTGACTGAGGTAATTGAGCTACCATATAAACAAACAAACAAACAAACCTTATCCCACTAGGTGGGGTCGGCTATATGAATCACACGACGCCATCGTGCTCTGTCAACAACCCAATCCTTAGATAATTTTGTGAGGTTGCCTGGTTGCAAGAAAACATCACCTGTTTGAATGGCATTATGGTCTTCTGCATTGGTTGGGTGATAAACTGGTCCAAATTTTCATATAATTTGACCTCGTGCTAGTTTCTCATCTCTCCATACATTCCTTCTTCAGAAACCAGAAACTAATTGCAGTTTGAATTTTCCAAAAGGAACTCGGATGTGGAGAAGAGGTGCTGACCCTGATGGCTATGTTGCTAATTTTGTGGAAACTGAGCAAATTATGCAGTTCAATGGGTATACAGCATCATTTGTTCAGGTAATGCTTTCTTTTTTAATGCACTGTTGTGGCCATTATATGTTAGGCTGTTGAGCTTGCCGTGCAAGGTTCTGCCATCCAATTCCAAAGTAACGCATGTCTGTTGATTTTTTTTTTTAATATTATAGTTAAATTAACAGCTAAAACATGGAAGCAGGACTGCTTTCAATTACGAGGAATAATTGCTAGATGTAATTATACTGCCAATAGCATATCTATATCTTAATTTGTGTCTTTTTGGTTGATCTTTTGCAGGTCCGTGGTTCAATCCCATTGCTCTGGGATCAAATTGTTGACCTGACGTATAAGCCTAAGTTTGAGTTAGTGAGACTTGAGGAAGCTGTAAGTTTTTATTGATTGTTGTGCTGTTGCATTTGATATCCAAGTGTTATATTTATTTTCCTTTCAACAATGCTAATGACACAGCCTCGAGTCATGGAACGACACTTCCTGGATTTAAGGAAAAAATATGGGGCTGTCTTGGCTGTTGATCTTATCAACAAGGTGAATATTATTTTATTGCATGATGATTTTCTGAGAGTGCATATCTGATGGTTAATGTTATTACCAGATAAATGATGATTCTAATTTTTGCTATTTCTTTGAACTTTTTAAGCAACAGTGCAGGTTAATAGAATCTGGTAAAGAATGTATGCAATAGATACATAAATACATATATATATATCATGTATCTTAATAAGCAAGGACTTGTTACCTATCACAATGGATCTATATGAGTTCCTTTCCTTTTCTTCTTTTATCTTGCCAGCATGGTGGAGAGGGTCGGCTGCATGAAAAATTTGGAAGTACAATGCAGCATTTGTCTAGTGATGATGTAAGGTAAAATGTCTTTCAATTAACTTTTAGATTGGTTTATATATATTCTTTTGGTTTCGTTTTATATGGCTCTCATTTGTGCCCCCATTTGACATGTCTAGATATCTGCACTTTGATTTTCACCATATCTGCGGGCATGTTCATTTCGAACGCCTCTCTGTCCTTCTCGACCAAATTTCTGATTTTCTCGAGAGAAATGGGTATGGATCACTATCAGTTAAATTTTCTGCTGTAAATACTTGAAAGTCTTGCTAAAAAATTATTTAAAGCTGCATCAGCATAAATTTATCGTATTAAAATTTGCTCATATTTCTAATCCAAAAGGACAGAAGAAAAATATGATCCCTCTTTTGCAATTTGTTTTTGGAATGGTAGATATCTTCTATTAAATGAAAAGGGAGAGAAAATGAAGGACCAGCTTGGAGTTGTCCGAACAAATTGTATTGATTGTCTGGATCGTACAAATGTAACTCAGGTTGGCTGGTTTCTTTTCTTTTCTTATCTTTTTTTTTTTGGTGCAGTGGAAAGTGCTTTGTGCCTTAGCAGTTGAACAGAATGACTTTAAATTTTATATACCTGTCAATAAGAACACTCAAGTGCTCTGATACATCTGTTCTGTAGTAAATCTTAGCTAAGAGTGGATAGATTTGGATGCACATAAACTGTAGTATGTTCTCAGGCTTGTGGTTTTCAGCGCTGGGGTTGCTTAAGGGAGCGTCTGTATGGATATCCAGCTCCATGTTTCACTTTCTTTTCCTGTTTTGATCCTTTTTTTGGTTGGGGGAGTGGGGTTCTGAAAGGCTGTTCAATCATTCTCATTTGTACTGTTCCTTCTGAGCATATTGTTTTTTATTAAAAGGTGAGTTCATGGTTCTTTTATTCCTCATCAAATAAAGATGGTGGGGGGGAAATGCTTTGATTCAATTTGATCAGTTTGCTGGTCGCTTAGTTTTATCTTAATGTGGACATGTGAGTAAATGCTCACAACCACAACCTTGTTACCAAACATTAGTACTTTAAAAGTTATTTGACTTATTTCCAATATATTTGTGGCATCAGATTCCTGTTTGCTATTTGGTTGCAGAGCATGATTGGCCGAAATATGCTGGAATTCCAGCTTAGAAGGCTTGGGGTATTCGAGGCTGAAGAGACCATCAGTTCTCATCCAAATCTAGATGAAAACTTCAAGATCAGTAAGTTTATTATTAATTCAAATATAGTCCTTCTGATATCTTCAAGCTTGCTTGGTTTTGGAAAATGGAAAGCTAAGGTTTAATTTACCAACCTCCATGACCAGTGTGGGCTAATCATGGGGATGATATAAGCACCCAATATTCAGGCACGCCTGCTCTAAAAGGGGACTTTGTCAGGTACCTTACGTGATCTGTCATAGCTTTTCTTTTGCCCCCCGCCCCTATGTTACTTACACTGAAAAGTTGTGCATTCCAGGTGTTTTTTTTTTTTTTGGGGGGGCCTCTGTTGACTTCACAATAGCATTACATTATGGTTATGTTGTCATTTGCGGAGTCACATGAGTTCTATGCTTGCTTCAATTATATTGTTACAAGACAGTAGTAAAGTTTCATTTAAATCATGCTAATGTTGTATTATTCCATTATATTTAGGATTCAATCTGTTGCTTAATGTCAATGATTTCTCTTATTTAGAATAATATGATATCAAAATCAAATTTTTTTAGACTGCGTAAATATGTGTAGATAAATTTTTGTTTTTTTTTTTTTTAGAATTGAAATTTTTTTAAAATGTAATTTATATAAGTAAAAAGATTTAACCACATGGTTCCATGGGAGCATTGGGTAGTATTTGAGTTAGAAAGTAGTACTGCTGCTGTAAAAATCCCAGTGTTGCACCATAGAAACGTGTTTGATTGAAAACTGCACAGCCATCCAGTCCATGTGTTGACCAGCCATATCTTTTGTGGCTATGTGGTTCCCACCGAGTTTATGGGTCGACAGCCTCGTTCTCTAGCTCCATGGCTTTTGGGCAAAGTGGACCAATCTATTAGCCAATTCATCAGTTTTTCTAGTTCAATTAACCAGTTTGGGCCATTTTCCCCATCTATATGCTATTTGGAAACCTTCGTGCCTCCACAATTGACATGTTTCATTTGGTTGGATTCAGATATGGGCACCGTACAATGCAAGGAATACTAAAAGATGGATGTAATGCTCTTCTACGCTATTATTTAAATAATTTTTGTGACGGAACAAAGCAGGTATGTAGATCTCATTTCTAATTGTATGCATTGATGATACACTAAATGTGTTTTAGACGGTTGTGAATTGATGGTTATTGAACGCGGGAAAAACTTCTGTTTTATTCAACTAGAGCAGCCGATACATATAGGAGAGGAATATACGATAATCTCGCATATAATCTTATCTGAATCTATCCTACAATCTACTCACAACTAATCTGGAAGAAACATTTAAATTCCTAAATAAAAGGCAGAAAGATAATGCTAAGTAAAAGGACTTGAATTAATCCCGATGGGAGTAGGATCATCTTCGGTTTGGGCCTAATGAGAATGAGCCCACTTTCAACACTCCCCCTCAAGCTGGCGAATAGATGTTGATCATTCCCAGCTTGCCTGTAAGCTCTTCGAATTTGGCCTTGACCAATGGTTTGGTCATCATGTCTGCAACTTGTCTTCCTGTGGAGATGTAAGTAAGATCAACCACTTTGGCCTCTATTTTTTCTTTGATAAAGTGACGGTCAATTTCTACATGCTTCATTCGATCATGTTGAACAGGATTGTTGGCAATTTTTAGGGCTGCCAAGCTGTCGCACCACATCTGAACTGGTGTATTTACTTTAATGCCTAGTTCTCGTAGTAGGCTAACAATCCATATCCCCTCACAAATTCCTAGCGCCAAAGCTCTAAATTCTGATTCTGCTGAGCTCCTTGATACAACTGGCTGTTTCTTGCTTCTCCAAGTAACAAGGTTTCCCCAGACGAATGTACAATAACCAGTAGTGGAGCGTCTGTCGTTCACTGCTCCTGCCCAGTCGGCATCAGTGTACACTTCTATGTTTCTACTACCTTCTATGTCAGGTGCCCTCTTGTTTGCATCAGTATATATCTCAACTCCCTTCTGATCTCCCTTTGAGAAGAAGAGACCCTTACCTGGAGTTCTCTTGAGATATCTGAGAATTCGCTCAACCGCCTCCATATGTTCCTTTTGGGGATTGCTTGCAAATTGACTCACAACCCCTACTGCAAACGATATGTCTGGCCTTGTATGGGATAGATATATTAATTTTCCGACCAACTTCTGGTACCTTTCTTTGTTCACTGTTTTTCCGTCTGGCTTTATTTCTAGTTTGCAATTTTGTTCCATGGGAGTTTCTGCTGGTCTTGCTCCTAACATTCCGGTTTCATTGAGAAGATCTAGCGTGTACTTCCTTTGAGACAAGCTGATGCCTTTCTGTGATCTGGCAACCTCCAATCCTAAGAAGTACCTTAGGTGGCCTAGATCCTTTACTTCAAATTCTGAGGCTAATTTCCTCTTCAATGCTGCGATTTCATTATCATCATTCCCTGTTAACACAATATCATCCACATAGACAATTAACACAGTTATTTTATGATCAATGAGTTTGACAAATAGTGTGTGGTCTGTTTGGCACTGTTTGTAGCCAAATCCAGTGACTGCACGCATAAACCTTCCAAACCACGCTCTTGGTGATTGTTTAAGTCCGTATAGAGACTTGCGTAGCCTACATACTTTCCCTTCATTTCTTGGTTCTCTAAGCCCAAGGGGTATTTCCATGTATACTTCCTCTTCCAGGTCGCCATTCAAAAAGGCATTTTTTATGTCCAATTGATATAATGGCCAATCCAAGTTTGCGGCTAGTGAGAGCAAAACATTGATAGTGTTGAATTTGGCTACTGGTGCAAAGGTTTCTTGGTAATCTATACCATATGTTTGGGTGAAGCCTTTTGCTACCAACCTGGCTTTGAACTTATTGGTACTTCCATCTGGATTATACTTTTTAGTAAATACCCATTTACTTCCTACCACGGTTTTTCCTCGAGGCAAATCAACAATATCCCAAGTTCCATTTTTAATCAAGGCCCTTAGTTCTTCCTTAATTGCCAATTTCCAATTATGGTCAGCTATCGCCTCACTAAATGTTCCTGGGATCTCTTCTCTGTCTATGTTGACAACAAAGGTCTTGAATTGAGAGGTGAGTTTGTCATAAGAAACATACCTACTTATCGGGTACCGCGTACAGCTCCTTTTTCCCTTTCTGAGAGCTATGGGCCATTGGAGATCTGCAGGATTAACCTCGGATATGGATTCATGACTTGGCCTTGGAACATTAATGGGGTCTTCACTGGTGGCTGTCTGTTCTTCCTGATTTCCCTGTATCTCACTTATTACTGGCTCAAAAGATGACTCGGTATGGTTAGGACGAGGGGAAGTAGGTCTGGTTGTGGTCTCAGGTTGGAATTCTGGTGTGTTAGAGGTAGTTTCTGGTGTGTTGGGTGTGATTTCTGTGGCTAAAGAGGGTGGTTCAGTAACTTCAGGATCAAGAAAGGTGACATCTAATGATATTTGGTCATCTAGAGATGTTTGGGTGTTATTGGTAGGACTACTACTCTGCTGTTCAGATTGTTGATCTATCCAGATTGGCCATTCACTACCTCTCTCCCCCTGAATGGGTAATTTGGGATAGAAAGGTAGGTTTTCAAAAAATTTAACATTCATGGTGATATACACTCGCTTTGTGATAGGAGAATAACACTTGTAACCCTTTTGAGTAGGAGAGTATCTGAGAAATATACATTTAATTGATCTAGACTCAAGTTTTCCTTTGTCACCATCAAACACAAATGTTGTACACCCAAAGACACGAGGAGGAAGAGAATTAATGAGATAAGAGTGAGGATAAGTTGCCAAGAATTTTTGAATCGGAGTCTGAAATTTTAAAGTTTTTGATGGCATACGATTGATTAAATATGCAGCAGTAAGCACAGCATCTCCCCAATAAAAGTTTGGTACATTTTTACCCAGTAATAGAGATCTAGTTACTTCTAAAAGATGTCGATTTTTGCGTTCAGCTACTCCATTTTGTTGGGGTGTATTGGCACAGGATGTTTGATGGAGAATGCCTTTTTCAGTAAAAAAGGTTGTGAGGTGAGAATTAACAAATTCCTTTCCATTATCACTTCGAAAAGTCTTAATTGAAGCCTGAAATTGATTTTGGACAAAGGTATAAAAATTTTTAAAAATAGAGAACACCTCAGATTTTTCTTTTATCAAAAATAGCCACGTTAAGCGAGTATGATCATCTATAAATGTTACAAACCATCTGGCCTTAGAAGTAGTAGCGACTCGAGAAGGACCCCAAACATCACTATGAATGAGAGCAAAAGGTTGTGTAGGTGTGTAGGTATGAGATGGGTAAGAAGTACGAGTCTGTTTGGCTAGTTGACACGTTTCGCAATAGAACTGAAAATCCCTTTTATTCACAAAATTTGGAAACAGTGATTTCATGTAATCAATACTTGGGTGTCCAAGTCTAAAATGCCATAACATAAAGTCTTCTTTAGAAGAAAAACTAGAGTTTCGGGAAGTAGATGTAGCCACATATCTCTTAGTTGTAGTTCCTTCAAGGTAGTACAGCCCATTGTGTTCCTTAGCTTTGCCAATCATCCTCCCCAAGATTAAGTCCTGAAAATCACAGTGAAGTTTATCAAAGATAATGAGACAATTTAATTCATGGGTTGCACAATTTACAGATAGCAAGTTGCAAGGGATTTCTGGAACATAAAGGACATTTTTTAGTACTATAGTGTCTGAAATAGTAACGGTTCCTGATCCCTCAACCTTAGCATATGTATTGTTAGCAACTTGAACTCGAGTATGTTCAGAATATGGCCTAAATTCAGAAAATAATTCCCGGAACCCGGTAATATGATCAGTGGCACCTGAATCAATAATCCATATATTTTTGGATCCGGTTACAGTGCTTAATGCAGCGAGTAAAATAGTACCTGAATGGGCTAAGGTAACAGAAGGGGTAGATTTTGCACAATTTTTCTCACCAGAGTACTTGTCCAGAATCTGTCTAAGCAACGTGAGTTCATCAACACTCAGATTCCCATTGTCAGAATTCACTGTAAGTAGACTTTTACCATCTCCTCTGTTTCGTTGCTTCAAGTGTGCTGGCTTTCCATGAATTTTCCAGCAAGTGTCCCGAGTATGCCCATTCTTATTACAATGATCACATCTTAAGGAAGGCTTCCTCCCCTTCTGATCACTTCCCTGGTTACTTCGTGTGACCATAGCTGATCCCTCTGTCGCTGGTGCAAGGGAAAGAGACTGAAAAGGAGAGGTGATTTGAATGAGTTCTCTTCAGCTTTCCTCATATCTGACCATATTGAAGATCTCTTCAAGGGATGGGAGTGGTTGCATTCCCATTATGCGTCCTCTTACATCCTCAAATGTGTCGTTGAGGCCGAGAAGAAAATCAAAGCATCGTTCTCGTTCTATTATCCTTTTGAAGGTTATTCGATCAGATTGGCACACCCAATGACATACCTCATATAAATCGAGTTGCTGCCATAACTTCATTAGTGCACTGAAATATTGGGTCACCGTTTTCTCCCCCTGTGTGAGAGACCGCAGCATTCGTTTAACTTGGAGGAGTGCCGCCGTGTTGTCTTTAGCAGAGAAGGTGGTCTTGGCCAATTCCCATATTTCTCGAGCAGAGTTGGCTAGGAGATAGTTTTCGCTAATCTCGGTATTCATGGAATGAATTAACCATGTCATCACCAGGTTATTTTCGGCGCACCAGGCTGCATATTTCGGGTCGTCTGGTTCTGGTGGTTTCGGGTCCCATGTCAAGTAATGTTCCTTGTTTCGTCCTCTTATGAACATCAGAACATTCCTGGACCATTGTAGATAATTCTTGCCATTCAGTCGGTGAGTGATTATCGTCTGCGAGAAGGAGTCGGCCGCTGGAATTATCCCCGTCGAACACGACGCTCCAGTTTGATGACTTCCTCCGGAATCGGCCATCGCGTGGGAGTCTCCTGCAGTTATCGGCGGGTTCTGGGTGGAGTCGCTGCCGGTGGTGAAGGTTCGTGGCGGTCCGATCACCGCGTCTCTGAAGGATCGCGCCATTGCTCTGATACCATGATGGTTATTGAACGCGGGAAAAACTTCTGTTTTATTCAACTAGAGCAGCCGATACATATAGGAGAGGAATATACGATAATCTCGCATATAATCTTATCTGAATCTATCCTACAATCTACTCACAACTAATCTGGAAGAAAACATTTAAATTCCTAAATAAAAGGCAGAAAGATAATGCTAAGTAAAAGGACTTGAATTAATCCCGATGGGAGTAGGATCATCTTCGGTTTGGGCCTAATGAGAATGAGCCCACTTTCAACAATAAATACTACGCACCAATATTTGATACGGTTGCTTTTTTGTGAAGGACGCAATTGATCTCCTGCAAGGACACTACATAGTTTCTGTCAGCAGAGATATGACTACCTCTCCTCAGAAAGGAGGAATCGAAGCTATAGCGGTGAGTATAAGTTGGAAGACTTTATTCTTCTATCTATTTGTTTTTCGAAAGTTATTATAGACTTCATTGGATGAACGTATTCAGCTTTTATGTCATGTGTCTAAGCTCATTATGATTGCCAAGAACTTGTGGCTCAAATGGCACCTCACACTTCCCCTCGTAAAGGAGGTTGTAGTTACTATCCCTTAGTGGCCAATTTTTTTTTTTTTTGGGGGGGGGGAAGTGTGGTTGGTGTGTGGGTCCCCTTCCCATTTAAATGTCCAAATTAAAAAAAAGTCCATCATGATAGCTGACCCCACTTAGGGGGGATAAGGCTTACGTTAGTTTGTTTTGTTGCTGTGTGTCATTAATAGGAAGCTTGAACATACTACATTCTTTTTTTTTTTTCCCTTTTTCCTTTTTGCTAATTCTAATATTACTTTCTTTCTAAATGTCTTTTCAGTCCTTTCCTCTGGCTTTTTCTCTGGTTATGATTGGATTTGTCTTTGCAACCATGTCATTGAGGCAAGGTGAGTTGGCTTTTATTCTTTTAGCTTAATATACAAAAATGACGGTCTAGAGTTTGTCTCTAGGTGACAAACATGTCAATATATTATTAGTGCAAAGAAATATTTGTTGCCATGTAACAAATTAACCAATGGATTTAATTAAATGTTCAAGTGATCAATTGTCTTGTGCAAAACGTAGCTGGTGTTCTCGTGATACTGTGAGGATTTGAGAATCTCTGCATGCTGTTTCATAGGTGTCACTTTTCCCACGAGTACTAGTGTACTTCTGGCGGACAATCTCTTCGCGTTAACATTGTGTTAATTGTTTGAACAGTTCAATATGATTTCCGGCATTTCTTTTTCTCTCTAATGTGGGCAAGCATTAGTATCGCAATAGCGGCATTTGTGAGGGCAAATGGTCGGGTTTTCTGCAACAGACCGCGCCTACACAAGCCACGGCGTTGATTCAATATTCAGATTGCTCTGAGCATTGGAATTTTTTTCCCGTGAAGCGTCCACCTTCTGCAAGAGACCACGCCTGCTCAGGTCTTTGTCCCTCATGAGGATGCTTTAACCAGTCCAAGCTTTACCTATAGCTCCCAACTTGCTACTTACTATATTCATTCTTTGGTACTAATTTTGTAACCATTGTTGGAAAAACCATATTGGAGGTACTTGTACTTTTTTTCAATTTTCAATTTGGTACCTGTGTGTTTTTTGTTCTTAACTAAATCTTTAATTTTGCTCTATTAACATCATTAATCCTTATGTAGAGACTAAAAATATCAATAGAACAAAGTTATAAGAGCTAATGTTGTTAAAAAGATAAAATTAAATGTTTAATTAAAAAGAAAAAAACACATAGGTACCAAATTAAAAATTAAGAGAAAGTATAGGTACCTTCAATATGGTTTTCCTACCATTGTTTCCACAATTTTTACTCGTCAGTCTTTTTTTTATTCATGTTATAGTCTAAGTGATTGCTTTTTTGTCTCTTTGTATATGTGCGGATGTTGGGTGTTTCATTTGAGATGGATTCTTTTGTATTGAATTCATGATTAGTGCGTTAGAATATTTGATTTTTACCTCGGAACTTATTAAGTCGTATTTCTCACCAGGTTCTTTTATAGTTCAATGAAATAGTCTCTAGTAATCGTTGTATGAGTCGTATGTAATTTCCTATAAGAGGAAGGTCACGAGTTGGATCCTATGAGCGCTCCCATATAAGAGGAACGTCAACGTCAAGTTGGATCCTATTTGTTATTGCCTGTCTCTTTAATATTTTTTGGAAAAAAAAAAAAGAGAAGTAAAATTACGAGTCTATGGGGATAAACCCTGATCAAAATAATTGTGCTCAGAAAGTGATGCTAAAGTTGGATGCCGCCCGAGGGAAAAACCCTCTGTATCACGAGATAATATTAATCTGTGACTTTCTTTTTCTGTTTGTGATGGGAGAGTTATTTAATTATGCGGCTTCTCTATAAAACTTGTCGACTTGGATTGAATTGTTTGGTTACGATAATTTTATCGAAATTAATGTCTATAAAACGAGGCTAAAAATCATATTTATCTTATTAAAGACTTATCATAAATTGTTTTTGTTATTTTAAAAACATGTCACTCGATTGTTTATTACATCTGATCCTAAATGTAATTAGGATCCAAATAAGATATTTATTTTAGTTCTAAATATGATATTTTAATTTTTCAAAATTATAAATTTTTTCCTGAAATTATCCCTCTCATATAGTCAAGGATTTTTCATTTAGAGATAGTTAAAATGCATATAATTAGAAATGAAATTATAAAAAAATAAATATATAGTTGTTACAAATAATTAAATTAATTTTTTCAATATATATAAATGAGTTATTTTATTCTCATATCAAGTACCAGAGATTTTTATTTTAAAAAAAAAAGTACAGAGGGAAGTAAATTGTAACGGGTTTTATTAGGTATGACAAGAATACATCTAAAGAGTATAATAACAAAAGACGATATATCCCATACCATTGAGAATACATCCAACAGTATTAACAAAGGTTTGGAGGCGGGTTAGAAACTGAAATGCACAAAGGTTTCGATTTCGAGCATCTTACAAGGCCACCCACCATTTAACTTGATAAAATTTACGTTGTTAAGTTGTATAATTTACTAATAAAGTTCTTGTCTCCTATTCACTTGGCATAAGGGTGATGTAATAAATCATGGATAAAAGTAAAGAAATTCAAACATTCGGGTTTTATTAAATATTTTAATTTTATTAAACTAATTTATTTTCATTACATAATCTGCTCTACGGAGCCACAATATAAATGCAAACAAAAAGGGTTGAAAAAAGGAGTCATGGCACAAACACCAGACAAGAAATTAAAATGAAAAACATTTATCACCATAAGAACCCACCACGTATTAAATCACCGACAAGTCGGACCAGGAAGAACTTTCTCCATCCGAATAAATTGTTGAAACCTTGATTAACACAAAACACTTGGTTTTCTCCAAAAAGAAAGACCTAAAGCATCAGACGACCCATCTCTTCAAGAAGCATAAGGAGGCCAATAGAGATGAAGCTCAAGCTTGTACACAACAGTCGGAAGCTTAGTATCAACTGGAGAAGAAGTAAGATAGCCTTGTACGAACAAGAAATCCTCAGTACCTCCCACTACTGGAAGATTTGCGGGCTTCACGTTATTGGTCACACCCACGACTGAAACAGACCCTTTATGGTTCTTCAAGTTCAGAGTCAGCCTAGCGATTGAGAGGCTCCGAAGCCCATCTAAGCTGGAGGTTATGGCGGTTCCTTCTGCTGTTCCAACAACCTTGGACGACATGCTGGCTGTCTCAGTCAAGGTGTCCTCAAACACAAAATAGGTACCAAATGGAGTTGTCGACTGAGTCACTCCTGGTCCTCCTTCAATACCTCCTACTATGATGTAGCCTGTCTTGTTTACGGTTTCATGTTGGAATAGAGAGAAATGGAGGGACTTGAGATGGTGGTGGTGGTGGTGGTGGTGAGAACTGGAAGCGACCTTTGACGGAGTTAGGGTAAGAAGCAAGAGAGGAAGGAAAAGAAGAAGATGATGAAGAGAATTGGATGATGGGAGAGCCATGGCTGTTTCTTTGTTGGATCTGATGATTAGGGTTAGAAAATGAAGGGATATTTATAGTGAGTGCGTGTGGATGTGTGAGAAATTTGATGAGGCTTGGTTCACGTTTGATGGTATGAAAAAGCTTGAAGTGATTTGGGGTTGATGGCAAAAAGAACTTGCACAAGAGGGCGAGTGGAAAGGGATAGCCGTCATACATATCTTTTGGTCTTTTTATTGTGTTTCTTGCTTTGAAAAATCGTTTTGAATAATGCAGCATAGAAATTAATAGTCAACTGACTCATGATCATATTGTTGTTTGGGTTTTGATTGGTGAATTAATCCTAATTTATTTTTTATTTTTATGTAACATTCTAACATAAAATAATAAAAAATATTTTATGATACCCGCTCTTGAAGCCAAAATCCATAGTATAATAGTAAAATATTTGCCATTTTCTCTCATGAGACTTGTAAAATAATGTTTCTTCTTTCTACCTAGCTATTGAAATTTGAAAATGGTACAGAAAGAAGACCGAGTGACATGTTAGATCTCTAGAAGAGTTGGCTGGAAAATACAATGGTCAAAAGTCAAACTGAAAATTACAGACTATTTTACATATATAATATAATATGCAATTATATATGTTTGCGTGCAATTAACAATTTATGATTGTGTCCATATTATAGTGGGTTTAGGTAGCACAACCTTTTCTTTTCACAAAGAAGCCAGAGAGCATCCATATGTACATATGTGAGTTGAATTAATATGGTGAATTGCAACAACGGCGACCAAGTCAAAGTTGCCTCACTTTCAGTTTCATATATTCTTTATTTATGTAATCCATACGCTTTATTATCACATCAGAATATAACATTCGGCTTTATTAATTTTATCTGTCCAAGTTCAAATCAAAAACGTTCTCCGCATGGAAGTAGACTTTAATTTACAGGTTTACATGCCTAATATACAGTATCATAGTTAAAAAGGGGGGATTATAATTAGGTTTTAAAAAAGATATTTAATTACCTTAAAGTCTATTGACGAATTAAGAGTAAGCAATGATAAGTTTCAGAGTTGAAAATGACAATAGTTTAAAGCTGATCACTTGTTATTGAGATTTTTTAATAATTAAATTTCTTTCTTAGGACTTCTTGATAATTCTTCCTAATTAAAACTTTTCAAACCAATTATAAGAACTTTGAAAAATAAAAAGAAAAGAAAATGACGGCAATATTTTTTTTTTTAAATTTTAAACCATTACCTTCTCATCTCACTGTTGGTGTGCATAGTATTGAATGTTGACATCAATTTCCACAAGCCACGACAAATAAGTTGCCTATTTTGACCCAGTTTAATTCCACGTCACACTTTCAGAGTTCAAATGTTAATCAAATATGCCATTTGCGTCATTTTGCAGTCACCCGTTCTCTAATACTCCTATGAATAAGCCCTGTACTTCATTTATAACTTGATTTATCTCAATATGTCCAAGTGCCAATTTTAATCTAAGTGATTTTGTACTGTATAAAATAAAAATAAATATGAGAGAAAATTTTTATTTTATAAAATGCAAAAGTGAGTATTTGTGGTGCAACCGAATGGAAACTAAAGTTAATAACACAAGGGAATGTCATTTGAGCAGCCTATAAGAGGAATATCGAGTATTGACACTTTGGTTCCTTCACACAGTGATATTGACAATTATTATATGTTGTATTATACCCGTACTAAAAACATCTTTTTATGTGAAGACCAAGGAATGTCAATCTTATTAATAAATCATACATTTTATTCTCTTTATCATGCGTGCTCGGACCCCACCAAGGACACGACATTTCGTTTTGGAGTGAAGTGAATGCAACATTTCAGTTAATTAAGTGTTGGGTTGGGCCATTATTTTTTTTGCATGTTTATTTTGATGCGTTTTCAGCCCAAACTTTTGAATTGAGATTTGTTGGGCTTGGTTTGGGTTCAGCTCAATGAATCACTCCCAAATTTAACATGTTCAAATTTCAAAATCGGAGCACTGATGAAATTTGGGTCTAATAAAGAATTAATTCCTTACAACATGACGAATTAATATTCGAATCTAATAAGAAAATACCTATACTTAAAAAAAATTGAAAATCAAAGAAAACAAGTCTTACTTGCCTTTCAAGAATCAAAATTGAACTTACATGATCACAATACACAACACAACGAACAACACCACCTATTCACAAAGATGACTAGTGAAACAAGAATTGTACCAATGTGCGAAAATGCCTGCTAAAATCCCTCCACCCAACCGAGAAAAAAAAAATCTGAAAAAACTAATTTAGCCTATACTAATTGACCAAATTTTAATAGCAAATCAAAAGATGATTAGATTAAATCAATTATATATAAGTGCCTAAAATGAATTTGACTACTCATCTTTGATCTAAATTTTTTAACCTTTGTTTTCTATGATTCAAATCACCCGAAGTGTACTTCAGGCAAAGATAGGATGAGAGAAAAAGGAGGAGAGCAAAATGCATATCTGCTCTTGTAATTCCACAAAGATAAGCGCCACCGTGTGATATTTCCACATTACTATACAACCTCCTTTCCAAATGGAATAACTTAATTCATTGATTGATTTTTTCATGGCCATCATGAACTGATCAATGATGCATAGGCTTTTTATGATGATGAAGAGGTGAAGATTGGCAACATTTCTTGGAACCTTTTGACTTGCTCTGGGTAGATTCAATACCTTGCAATTCCTCGACTACATCTTTCATACCAGGGCGATTCTTGGGGTCAGGTTCTAGGCACTTGAGAATAAGCTGAGCTGCTTGAAAAGCCGCACTGAGTGAATATTGACCCTCTATTCTGGCATCCATTATGGTTTTCAACTTCTTTTTGCTGGTGAGGCATGGCTTACCCCACTCAACTAGATTTTGCTGCCGAGATGGCCTCTTTGGATCAAGTGCTTTCATGCCTGTCAGCATTTCAAGCAGCACTACACCAAACCCATACACGTCACTCTTCACATACAAATGCCCTGTTCAATGATGGTACTAGAGTTAATAACTAGCGAAGGAGAATTTCTTAATTAGACCCGCTAGATTTGTGAGTCTAGCAGATAAATTAATCATACCATTCAAGTGTTATTCTAGGAGTCTCACATTTTGTTTAGATCTTTGATATAAGTAAAACTGCCTCAACGTTATGAAATTCCCATAGGTAGATGGTTACAGATACTGCCCAAAATGGTGTCCTTATGCACCTCCTCACATCTTGGATAACTTAAGCTCTGTTTGGCCACCAAGATGGAAAGGCATTCCTCTTTCCTTGCATAAGAATTGAAATATGCAATATTTACTCTGTCTCTGTTATTATTTCCCACCATTTATCCTATTCTTATTGTTGTTTCTATTTCACAGCACAAAAAACATTTCTTGTCCACACAATCACTTCTTCGTTCCATTTTATTTTATTATATGTACCAAAAACTATTATGCCAATCAAGAGGAATCTTGAGTGCCTCTTGACATCCCAGGTACAACACGAAGATGGTAATGCACCAACTGTCTCCCTAAAAATATGCTAAATGTGACTTGTGCTTTAAAAAGTATATCCAACACGTGATTTTTTAGTTTTGCATACAAAAGTTCTCAAGGAAAACTAACGCTACTAAACCCATTTACGTATTTATTCATGATTTTTTTTATTTTTATGTAAAAAAATTTATCAAAGAAAAAAGAAATAAGATATTACAAGTGAAGATATAATCATTTGAATTTTAAATGGTGTAATATTTACCTGTGGCTACGTATTCTGGGGCAGCATAACCGTATGTGCCCATGATCCTAGTAGTCACGTGTGATTGTTCTCCAGAAGGCCCTAATTTAGCCAAGCCAAAATCAGAGATTTTTGCATTGTAACTCTGTAGGAGACGAGAAAGAATATATCAATATGACTAGAGAAATCCGGAATATATATATAGATAGACCACTGATTTTATAATAGTGAAAAAGAAAATATACATATACGCTTCAGCTAATACTTTAAACATCAATAAGTTTTGCACATTCTAAGTGTGTAGAACAATTAAAGGAATACGAACTAGCCATTCATTCCTAGATGATACTAAATTCATAATACGACAGCAACAACAGAAAGAGGATGACTAGCAAGATTTCGACTAACCCCATCAAGTAATATATTTGAGGCCTTGAAATCTCTGTAGATGATTTGCTTTTCTGAAGTGTGCAAGAAAGCGAGGCCTTGAGCTGCATCAATAGCTATTTTGAGTCGCGTGTTCCAAGAAAGTGGTTGTGTGTTAGAAACCCCTGCTCATCAACATCAACAAAAAGAGAATTAGATCTCAGATTCACGGCCAAGCAATCTCCTTTCAGTTCATTTGGTTTTAGGTCTTACTTCTGAAGAGATGACTCTCTAAGCTTCCCTTAGGCATGAACTCATATACAAGGAGAAGTTCATCCTCCTCCGTGCAGTAACCAAATAGCTTGACCAGGTTTGGGTGAGAAAGGCTTCCTAAGAAGTTCACTTCTGACTGCATCACAGAATCAGCGATAGCTATATATTAGTACTGTGCTGTAGTTGTTTTCGGAGCTCAAAGTTCTGGAATCAAATCCCAGTAGAAAGACTAAGGATCCTCTTAATCTTAAGCAAAAGATTGACAATTATTTTAAACAAATTCTGACCATTCAATTGATCTAATCCGTCCTAATGTGTTAACAATAATCTTAAACTAAAAATGAAATCTAAATTATCCAAATCAGCTAATTTATTCAAAATGAATCTTGTTTCTATCCTAGTTATCCAATAGATAACCCATTGAAACTGTTTCACTTAGACTACCAGATTATCATTAAATGCAAAGCAACAAATGAAATAATCAAATGTTCCTATATATCTAAACCGCAGAGAATTTAGTCGACAGATGTCCTCCAGCATTTCACTGCACTGGTTTTTCTGTCATCTGAGCAAAAGGTTGGCGGGAGAAAGAGATGAGAGTTCCATCTCGTTTTCCAAACCCCTCTCAGGATTTTTCTTATACATTTTCTTTTGAAATATTCATCAAATCATGCTTCATTAATTACTGAGTGGAAAAAGAAAAGATTCCCTTCTGGGTTTTTTTTTTTTTTTTTTTGGGGGGGGGGGGAGGTGTTGTCGCGCACACACTGAGACACAGCAAGGATTTGCGGCATCAACGCCTTGATTCTATTTACGATTTGAGAGGGCTCATCATTCTTATCTTCATAGTATCCTAATGCCCATCTCTTCTCTCGAAGCAAACATGCCATGGCCGATCCTTTGAGATAGACTAAATTTGTTACATCATCAATAATAGTATGTGACTTATTGGTGAAGACAGTGACAGCATTCAGAAATTATAAATATGGAGAACAAATGCTCATTTTGTACACTCATATTAAGTCAACATTCAACAATGTGGAATTATCCCAACGAATCAACAGATAGAGGTAGCTTGAGTGGGACCAATTGCATAATTTTCACACTAAACTCCATGAGACCATTGACTGTCTTTAGAGTCAAATTTGTTAGTTTATATAACACTTTCCCGTAGAATTAGAAACGGAAGGTCCTTCCACACCAGAACAGCTGTAGCTGCAAATTGGGTCCTAATTCATTTGCTTTCACTTGACTTTCTCTTCACCATAGGTTATATATTATTAACCAGCTGAGGTAGTAGATGCTTGGATATATTAATAAATTTCATAGCTAACTATTCACCAAATTGTGAGGATAAAAGAATTTATAATTTTTTGAAGTTATAAATAAACGATTATAAGTTTTTCAAACCATGACAAGTGATTGACAACCAAATTAAAAACTGAATCAACCTATACGCAGAATGTTTTAACCAGATATTAAGAGTCTAAGACTGTTTTAGGAACCTTGAGCCTGACAATCATAGTGGAGTAAATAAGAACTTATAATAGTAGAAATTGAAGGTACCTTCCACTCTTGAAAGCCTTGCATGCTCTCAGGGTTGAGTTTTTTTATAGCGACCATCATTCCAAAGCCAGCTTTGGCCGGCGAAAGCGTCTTCTCATCTAACCAACCTTTGTAGACTTTACCAAAACCACCCTCTCCAAGCAATGAATCCGATTTAAAGTTCTTGGTGGCTGCTTTCAAATCCCCAAAACTGAAAACCTTCAAGCAATTAGGCGCTTCTACTACATGCCTATTTGGGGAATCATCGGACCCGTCGACGCTTCCATTTGCAATCATCGAGAACAGGCTCCTCTCTACAATGCTGTTTGTTGTAAACGACTCAACATTCCTACTCTCCGGAGTCGCAGACCCTACAAAACGAAAAAGTGAATTCCAGCATGCTTCTATGGAGAATTCTATCAAACCGGTTGAACCCGTGTTGGGTTCTGAGCTCAACTTTCAAACCCGGGAAACCAAAACGTGATATAAACCGAAGTGTCGTGCGCGCGTGTATGGTGCTTCATGAGGAAAAGGGAATCAAACTCGGGATAATTTACCTGAATGATGAAGCGTTCTGGCGCTAATCTCGGAACCACGGGAAGCGAGAGAACCGAAGCAGAGACCCATATCAACTGAGTCAACAGAATTAGCATAAATTGGAGGAGGAGGAGGAGGAGAAGAAGCTGAGGAAGAAAGAAAGAAGATGGCAGCTTAGAGACGGAGAAAATAGACAGTTGGGTTTTCTTCTTCGTCTGGGTGATTGCAAAAGTCAATGGTAGTGTTTGAATAATTCGAAATTGGAGATGTTTGAATATATACATGGTTTCTCGTGTTAGCCACGCGAATCTACTTGGAGGGAGGTCCCATTTCAGCGCCCGTTTGAACACAAGAGAGAGCATCATGCTGCCGCGATTATGATATTGGGAGCCACCGCGTTGGCCGCCTGCTCCGAAGTTTCTTTCATGTATTCAGGACACCCCGGGGAGAAAATTTAGACGCTATTTTCTTCTACTCTTCTCCAAATTCGTTAAATATGCCCTAAATTTATTAGAATCGAGTCTAATCCAAATGCAGTATTAAAAAATCGACAAAGTTACAAGACTGACCAGCTATTAGAAGTATGACTTGTTAGATTTCGATTAATCAAATATTATGCCGCCAATATTAAGCAATAACAGGATTTTCAATGAAAATCATGTTAAAATATTTATTATTTATTCTAAACTGTTATATGTTGTCGTATTACATCATCTTTTATATAAGACTCATCCGATCCTAAATATAAAACTTATTTTATAGTATAAATTACACTACAAAATAGATACACTATAAAATAAGTCTTATATTTAAAATCATAACAGTATACATCTATATATTGAGAGCAGAGACACTGTTTTTTAAGTTTATGTAAGATGTTCGTTGCGATTAACGGGCAAAAAAAAAATCAAAATAGAAATATTCTCAACAGAGTTTGACTGAAAAATTACCATCTTCATTAATTAAACCCAAATCCAATCATCCCGGTGTAACTTTATTTATTTTATGCGTTTCATAAGATTTAACTAAACCGTGACGTGCCGGCCAAAAGGGGAAAAAACTCAATTATGACCTCAGTTATCTTAGATTCTTGGTCAGCATAGTAATTCCATGATCATGTCTATGCACTATGCTGTAAGCGGAACACGGTGCCTTGCCAACTCAACACAATGACTTGCGTTTCATATCACAAATTTTAAAACTTACGAATTAAGTAAAGTTATTAGTGGAATTGAAGCTACTGCCTCTCTTATTTTTAAGAGGAATTTTATTCTACTTCTTTACAAAGTCATCAGTGGAAATTCAAAATTTTAATATATTATTTATATTATAAAGTGAATCTGATGAGAGGTATTATATTATTTTTTTAATTTTTCATGTCGCATAATCACAATTTCCAAAACCAAAATCATATTGTTCCTTTCATTATCCCTGACTCAGCTTTATCAACAATCAACTAACAGCCTTTACTGTTTTTAATTTAATAAAAAAAATCAAAATACTCTCTCTATTTTTATTTATAAATTTAAATTTAAAAGAATATGATCTATTTTATAAATTTTAATTTCAGCTTGTTTTAACATTTGACGTATTTTTTTAAATGTTGCTTTGATCATTTTTACCTCATCACATTTCTCCAAACATTCTTTTTTATCATTTTTATTATTTATTATAAGAATGTATTTAAAAATAAAACTTTTTTTAATCTATTTATTATTTTTAATTAATTATTCATTATTAATAAATTAGTTATTTAAAATTTATAAGAAAGACAAGAAAGTAACGTCCAGACCTACCCCAGGTAACCCAACCACCCAATAATTAGTCTCCTCGTTTATAATTTTATTAATTAATAATCCGGGAACCCGAATGTACGGAGCAGAGCTGTGTGAGATTTGATCAATTCATCGGAGAAATTGGGCGGTATTCGTTGGATCCGTGGGACACAGGGCAAGAAGAAAAGGTGAGAACGGAGAGAAACTCGGTCAAAAACCTTTTTGATCGTGTTTTTTTATTTATTTATTTTTCATGGAGACATGATCGGCCTCGTTTAACAAAACCAAAAGAAGGAAAGACTGACAATAAATGAAAAACGACAAAAGTGTAGACGACATGGCCAATGGTTTTGCTGCGTGGAATGTAAAATAGAAAAAAAAGAAAGTGAGAATGAACTCGGCTTCACCGACCAGAGCCCAACGTGCATGCGCATTTCATCCTCAATTCCTCCGTTTAATTTCTCGACTTTGACCCACAAGGTTAGATGGGTCTCTTAGTCACTCACCCCATGAAAAATCAAGAATAAAAAGAGATGCTCATATTTATTAGTATCGAATTATTTCTAATAACAGTATACCTATGCGTAGGTAGAAAAAAATCCCAACTCTGAGAAAACGAAGCTTCCTTTCTTTTATTTTCTTTTGTTTAAATTAGTTAAGTAAGTTATTTTTAAAAATATATATTAATTTTCTTAAAACATCGTTTCTAAGCATATGCCTTGTAATTATCTCTTCATGAAAACTCTTCACTGTGTGCAATTAATAGAAACACCTTGGGTAAAAAAATATAAATTTAAGAGACGAAATAAATTAAAATTTTATATTGAAGATAAAAATGAAATTCACATCTAGCTCCTATATTTGTTCCTTTATAAAAGACTTTTTTTTACCAGCTATGAAAAGACAAATTTATTCCAATGAAAAAAGTTAAAATGATACGCAGGTCACTCTGAACTTACTTGCATGTTGCCTGTATTTTTAAATATAAGAGTAAGATAAAAAATTTATAGTTTAAAATTTTAAATGTACATAATTAATGCAAATATTTTGCGAACATCAAAATACATTTGTTACAAAATGAGAGGCCAATCCATAGAACACATGAATTCCGAAACATGTACAACCAAAGCCACACACCTCATAGGCTCATAGCACACAGCAGCCTGCAATACAACGGCCAGAACATCCCAGGCCGCGTTTTTATCTCTTTTATATTTGATGATTTATGGCGGCTTCAGCTTTTTTCAGGGCCAGAAAAAACACCCTCCATTTTTTTTAATTTAAAGGCGCATACCTTGTACAAGGACCTACCTAGGTCAGTCACCTTAGTACCCACGAAACATATAAGATAAATTATGAGGACCAGGGAGGTAGTAATTTATAAATAGCTTTTCAATTGTAATATACGGAAAACGAGATAAATATGTGAGAAAAATTTTATTTCGGTTTATATTAACCGTGTTTATAAGCTCTTATTTAAGCCAACCCAAACAAACATAATGTGTGTCCGAAAACATCCTTATTGATTGTAAGGTATTTTTACCTAAGTAAGGTTTCAATATACATGATTGAATAAAGATACCTTAAAGAAGTCAGTACATATTTGTTATAAATAATTAATTTAACTAATTTTTAATTTTATCAAATAAATTATCTAACTTTTATATTAAGAACCGGATGAAATATTTTACTCATTTTCATTATAATTCCATATTATATGATTTAATTTAGTAAACTTGGAATTATTTTCTTAAAAACTTTAATTCTGATGAAATATGCTATGGAGCAGTAATACTAAATGAATGGACCTGTTATGAATTTTGGGAGGACGAGGAGCGATGACCGGAGAACTTGGGGATTAGTTAGTTGATGACATGTCTCGTACGTAATGGCGGAGGTCAATCACATTGGAATATGATCAGTTAATCAGCCGGGGTGGCTGCCTTTTTGACTTTTGATGCAAGTGAGAACAAGGAGGCATCATTGAGTGGGACTTAAGTGAAAATGAATTTCATAATACCTGTTTGACTTTGATTAAAAACGACCAAGAAAATTAAAAATAATAGAGATACTGATTAATGGTGAGATGTGTTGGCAAAGAAAAATTGGGGGATGTCCAAGAAACACGAATGAGATGAGCTGTGGGAAGAGAAGGAGGAAATTAAAAATGGAAAAATTTCACTGTAAGACTGCAAAAGACAATTAATTTCAAAGAGCTTCCAAAACTTTCTGAAACTTTACTGCAGGACTAAGGGGCAAACTGATATTAATTCCACAAAAAAAATGACGCTATTGCCCCTCATAATACTTATTGCAGGGTGACATGTAAATGGACTAATTTCAGTTGTAAATAAAGTATGTATGTTGCAAATTGACTAGTCCCACTTGCAAATGGGCTCTCTCACACTTATTCACTCACAGGCACCTTTTTCAGGTGAATGAGGTGATATGTAAATGGACTAATTCTAATTGTAAATAAATGTATGTATGTTGCAAATTGACTAATTCCACTTGCAAATGGGCGCTCCCACACTTGTTCACTCACGGAGACCTTTTTCAGGTAAAGGAAGTGACATGTAAATGGACTAATTTCAGTTGTAAATAAATATATGTATGTTGCAAATTGTCTAGTCCCACTTGCAAATGAGCTGTCTCACACTTGTTCACCCAGACACATTCTTCAGGTGAAGAAGGTAATATGTAAATGGACTAATTTTAATTGTAAATATATCTATGCATGTTGTAAATTATCTAACCTCACTTGCAAATGGGTTCTCCCATACTTGTTCACATGAGGGGCAATAGAGTCATTTTCTTTGTGGAATTAATATCAATTTGCCCCCTTGGTCCTGCAGTGAAATTTCAGAAAGTTTTGAGGGCTCTTTAAAATTAATTGTCTTCTGCGGTCCTACAGTGAAATTTTCCCATTAAAAATTCTTCGTTTCTTGAATTTGACCCTTTTCTCTCGCTTTCTCACTTCCGTTTTGTGTTCGAAAAATTTCACGTTTTCGGATTAATCCTACCATCTGAAAGCAGCTTCTTGAAGATGGCCTTGAAAAGGCTTTTCACTTTTTGAGGTGAGAGTAAAATAATGTTTATCTCAGGTATGAAACACGCACACTGACATACACATATATAAATACTGAATATTATAACTCGAAATAAGATTGTCTCTAAAAATATATATACATGCGTAACAAAAAAAGAAAAACAAATACTCTGTCCATTTCTTTTTTATTCTGCCTCATGAAATAAGTTTGGCGTACATTTGTTGACCAAGAGCTCTCAAATGCCAAAACACGAGAACTTCTTTAAAAATTATCTTCGATTTTTAGTATAAGAGCTAGTTGACTAATTTGAATAGATTAAAAAAATTAATTAAGTTAGTTATTTGTAAAAGAAATATGTATTATCTTTTCTAAAATAACCTTACTAATTAAGTATATTGGGTAGAATTATCATTATTAAAAGGACTATTTTAAAAAAATAGATAAATATGATATGCAAAATGAATTACGGTTTTATATTAGAATTAAAATAAAAATCAAACAAATTCTTCTACTGCACTTGGTGTATAGCTAAAGCCATCTATATATGGACAATATAAAATATATGCATACGTCTATAGCATATGTGTGCAGTGCCCACATATTATTTCAAACTAAACTTTTCGAGGCTCACACAGGCGCGCATGTGTTACGTTTCTAATTAAACTTGTGGCTTTTTTTTTTTTTTTTAATATGTTAACGGCAATATATCTTCTGTTGGCAAGTCGCACATATTTTTTTTCTTATTGGAAGTAATTCCATTTAAGGTGCCATCCAACACTAAATATAGGTATCTTTTCTAATAAGAATTTGAATTTGAATTCATCAAGTTGTGAAGAATTAGCTCTTTCTATTAGATTCAATTTGTTGATTTTTAAGCTTTAACTTACACCCAAGCATATGACATGAATGTGATTGAAGCCCAACCATAACATTGAGCCCATTTTGTTTGACTTGTTTGTATGATACTATTCCGGCTTTAAATATAAGATTCATTTTATAGTGTTAATTAAACTATAAGATAGATTTTATATTGAGGATTAGAGAGGTATTACTATATTATTTAATGTAATCTTTTTTTTAATGATGTCCACTGCAAAAATACTTTTTTTTAAACTTTCTTTTAAATACCCTCGTCCGTTGTACTGACGTCTCCTGGGACTTCAGCAAAATATGAAATCTTAATACTACCTCCGATCCTTAATATAAGATCTTATTTAATTTTTATTTTGGTTCTAAATATAAGACCTCAATCCATTTTGTGTCTCATATTCATGTACTCCTCTAATTCTTAATATAGGATCTAATTGTTGAGTTGGTTTTGGTTCTAAATATAAGACTCATTCTCATATTTATCAATTTTCTCTAAATTACCCCTATAGATATTTTCTCAACCATAATCAAGTAGAAGAGGAAGATTGAGTATTAGGAAAGATGATTATGGTATTTTAGAAAAAACGTATCACATTTTTTATAATTAACTATCTTACCTAACTTTCTTAATCCAATTAAATTAGTTAAATAGGTCTTATATTAAAGACCGGAGGAGTATTTTTTTCAAAGTAGTCCTTCTAATAATAGTATTTCTAATCAATATACTTGATTAATAAAGATATTTTAAAAAAGACAACACATATTTATTACACATAACTAACTTAACGTCTTTTTTTAATCTCCTCAAATTAGTCAACTAACTCTTATAATTAGGAGTGGGGGTGGTATGATTATTCATGAGACTACAGTGTAAAATGAATTCTTTCAAGGGGCTTGGGCGTAATTTTCTCTTTCTCTAGGCCCGGTGAAGTGGTGAAAGGAGCTAGCCGAGATTGGGGACTTGAACAAAATTCCTTTATGTTTGTAACCCGGGGGGGGGGGGGGGAATCCTTCATGGTGCACGAGGATCACCTTATGCACTTGTGTGCAGGTCTCTCACCCTCACATGACGTGGAGGAAATTTTGAGCTTTGATTTCGATAGATGAATGGCGCGTTGCAATGGGAAGGTTTGGATTCTCTTCTCGTTCTTATGTTCACGCTGCATCAGGCAAATTATCTGTTCTATTCGAACCCCTTTCACCATTACTGGGGAACAGTGTGAAGCCTATAACGATCAGAGAGTGCAAACAAATCCACGCAAAGCTCATAGTCTCACAATGCGTTTCAGAAATCCATTTAACAAACACCCTTTTAGGCTTGAGCTTCAAGTGTGGTGCGTTCGATCACGCCCACCAATTATTCGACCAAATGCCTCACAAGAATGTTGTCACCTGGACAACCTTAATTTCTGCTCATGTTGGAACTGGGTCTTTTAGAAGAGCGTTGAGCATGTTCAACGAAATGCGTGCTATGGGAGAGAAGCCAAATGAGCACACGTTCTCTACTTTGCTTCGGGCTTGTGCCAATCCCACTTTGAGGAATTTGGGTTTGCAAATTCATGGCATGGTGATTCATTTTGGACTTGAGGGGCATAAATTTGCTGGGAGCTCTCTTGTAAATATGTATTTTAACACTGGCGGTATGCTCAATGATGCCTGCCTTGCTTTTAACGATTTGTCAGAGAGAGATCGCATTACATGGAATGTTATGATTTCTGGGTTTGCTCAATTAGGTGACTTTATTGAGGTTCAGAGACTGTTTTCTGAGATGCAGGAGGTGGATGGCTTGAAGCCCGATGATGGTACAATCACGAGCCTCCTCAAGTGTTGTTCTTCATTAGATGAAGTAAAGCAAATTCATGGGCTTGCCTTCAAGTATGGGTTCGAAGTTGATGTGTTGGTGGGTAGTGTTTTGGTAGACTTGTATGCCAAATGTGGGGATATCATTTCTTGCAGGCACATATATGATTCCATGGAGGAGAAAGACACTTTTGTGTGGAGTTCGATCATTTCGGGCTATGCCAAAAACAATAGAGGAGATGAAGCTGTTCATTTTTTCATAGATATGTGTAGAAAGGGGACGAAACCTAACGAACATGTATTATCAAGTACCATAAAGGCTTGCGCTGAGATCAAGGACTTGAAGACAGGAACTCAAGTTCATACCCACATGATAAAAAACGGATATCAATACGAATGTTTTGTGGCAAGTGTTCTATTGTCTCTCTACGCCAATTTTGGCGAACTAGAAGATGTGGAAAAGCTGTTCAGAAGGATTGATGATAGAGATATTGTGGCATGGAACTCTATGCTCTTGGCTTATGCTCAACTGGAGCAGGGATCTACTAGTTGCATGCAACTATTTCAAGAACTTCACCGATCAACATTTCTGCATATTGAGGGAACCACTATTGTGGCCGTTTTGAAGTCTTGTCAGAGCAGTTCAGATTTGCTTGCAGGCAGACTAATTCATTCTCTCATACTGAAATCTAATGCAAGCCATCATATTGTGGTAGCGAATGCTGTAATTTCCATGTACTCAGAGTGCGGAGAAATTGATGATGCTTATAAAGCCTTTGTTGACATTGTTGGGAAAGACGCTAGTTCATGGAGTTCGATTATTGGAGCTTATCAACAAAATGGGAAAGAGTTAGAAGCTTTAGCGCTTTGCAAAATGATGTTGGCCGTTGGGATCTCCTTCACCAGTTATAGCCTTCCATTATGTATTGCAGCTTGCTCGCAGCGTTCAGCTGTGGATGCAGGTAAACAATTCCATGGCTTTGTCGTCAAGTCTGGTTTCACCAATGATCTGTATGTGGGGAGTTCAATCATAGATATGTATGCCAAATGTGGAAACATGCAAGAGTCAGAGAAAGTTTTTGATGAACAACCAAAGCCAAACGAAGTACTGTACAATGCCATGATCTGTGGATATGCACATCATGGAAAAGCTCAGAAAGCTATGGAATTATTTGGTAAAATGGAAAAGGTCTGTTTGATTCCTAATCGGGTGACTTTCTTAGCAGTTCTATCAGCTTGTAGCCATGTTGGTTACTTGGATGAAAGCTTGTTTTTCTTCACATTGATGATTAACCAATACAAGATAAAGCCGGAATCTATGCATTATTCATGTCTGGTTGATGCTTATGGTCGAGCTGGAAGGTTTGAGGAAGCTTGCCAAATAGTGGAAAAGGACGGAAGTGAACCAGCATGGAGAACGTTACTGAGTGCTTGTAACACTTATGGTGACACTGAAATTGCAGAAAAATCTGCAACGAAACTGGTAGAGTTGAATCCCCATGATCATGCTTCGTATGTTCTTCTTTCAAATATTTACACTAGAGAGGGAAAATGGGAAGAAGCTCTCAAGTGGAGGGCGGAAATGGCTAAGGTTTGTGTGAAGAAAGATGCAGGAACCAGTTGGTTGATATGAAGATCACAGAAATCTAGCATACAAGCTTGTAATGGTTGAGATCTTCATGGGATGACTTCTTGTTCGTGTGGGGATGGACTGTTTAGATTGACGATTTTTTCCTTGCACCAGAATTTTAGGAATCTAACGTTAGGCATTTGATTCATTCATATAGTATGTTTCTACTAAGGATTAAAGTTGTGGAAAATTATCCTTAGGTGCTAATTAAAAATTAATCATAAATAGATTTCCCTATTTCATTTAATATTAATAGATTTCAAGAAATTTAATATTTACAAATTTTACTTGGAAATATGAAAGTTTGATTTGAGATTTGATATATGAATGACATAATTCAACGTAGGCAAAATTAATCTTTTATTCTTAAAATTTTTAATGTATTTATAACTTAGTCCCTAAAAAATGCAACCCAGTTATTTAACTCTCGACTCTTGTATAATTCAGCCTCTAATCTTTCGATCTTTCATAATTTTATTCTATCATTCCTAACTCATCACGAGTCAGCATTACTCATCTTAGGTGGCTTTCAACTTAGCTCTATATATAAAGAGTCACTGATCGAACCCTTCGCCATGCTCATCGTCCGCAACACCAGAAAACCAGACTGCCCCGCCATTAACAGAATCCAAGGTCAATCCAACCACATCATCAATGCCTTCGAAAACTTCGAAGTTGACTGGCTCTGCTATTTATATCGAACAGGAAGGAGCCTGGAAACTTCCTCGAGACGCACTGTCCAAATCTCGCGACTTTAACTAGCTCTTCTATTAGAATTTCGTCTAAAATTCCACAACCGTACTTTAAAACAAGCGAAGGTAGCGTTCAAAATTGAAAATTGCGATGGATGCATGGGATTTAAGTTCCCTGATCAAACTTGTGGTAATATATATGATGACATAGAAGGAAGAGGAGTTGGGAATATAATATTTGCCCGTGGAGTTCACCTCTGGAAAATTTTTACTTTGAATTGGTTAGAAAACTGGAGGGGGAAATGCAGAAACATATGAAATAAGGAGAAGCACAAGACTGTAAGCGCGGTAAGAATTTGCCTGCGGGTTCCGTTAATGGCGGGGTATAGTCTAGTTTAATGATGAGCATCGCGGAGGATCAGTGAGTTTTACTCCTTAAAGTATATATTTGGTTTTTAACTCTATTAAGGTTTTACGTTGGTCTTAATTTTAAAAAATATACTTTTAGTCCTTTAATCCCAAAATTGTTATTCTTAAATTATAATTTTTTATAACAATTATGGTCGTTTTAAATGTTAAACTTAATATGTTTGCATTTAGTAATATTTTATCAGCATTCAAGAGCTCAATATCATCATTTTTTGTTTAACAATTTTTAGATTAGAGGACTAAAAGTTTACTTTTTAAAATTAAGGGACCAAAATAAAATTTTGTGTAAAGTTAAAGGATTAAAAATATACTTTAACTTTATATAAATATACATACATACGTATGTATATATAACGGTATATATAATGCAAAATTCACAGAGACTAGAGCCGAGTTAGAGGCCACCTAGGATGAATCATCGTCGACTCAGTTAGAAATAAGAGAGACAAAATTATAAATAATTGAAAAGATTAGAAATCAACTAAGTTATAAACTAGTTAAAGGTTCAAAGATTAGAACATTATTTTTTTAAAAATATTTAACGTAAATAGAGTATCAAATTTCTTAATATTAAATAAAATTAAAAAATTATTCGCCCGAAATGTTAAGGGGCAAAAGCAGATTTGAAGAGGGAGAACGTATTCCACCTCGATGTTCATATGGACCAACAACGTTTGGGATTAAAAGAGAAGGTCATAACCGTATGTGAAATTTTTAATATATAAAATCTAAAGAATATACACGTATTCAATAACTACCAGTTCAATTACAATCAAATAAAAAACACTATGAACAAATGTATTCACTAATTCAATAATCCATTTGATTCAGTCACAGTGATAAGCGTGTAGTACAAAAAGAAAATTATAAGTGATCAAGTCGTGAAATTAGCAGGAAATTTTAGAGCTGCTGCAGTGAAATTGAATTGAATTAATGAATATCTAAATTTTTACAAGTAATATCAATATCCCTATAGTACATGTGCATTGTATTCTTGCCACCTTAAATCTAGGGCAAACATCCCCAAGCAGCTTGCGGTCTTCCGACACTAAGATGAAGATCATGACAACCTAGTTGGCATCGATGAGACGGCAAATGAATTTGCTAACCCTGGTAGATACTATTAACCAAGGTATTATCCCAACCTGCAACGATACTGGAACGTTTAGAGATATTCAGATGGGTAGAGAACCATTCGAAGCTCCCATGCATTCTCTTTAATTATAATTTGGAAAAGAAAAAGAAAGATATATACATTTGACAGACAACCACCAAGGTTTCCACACTTTACTACCACATTCCATAAGTTACCACTGAATACTACAAGTAGAATACAGACGCGCAGAAGTGAATTGTTTTAATGTCTGGTTGAAAACCCCATACCAACCGATGCAGCAATTGTTTTCAGATATATGCAGGTGGACTCCATATTGATGCACATGAATGAAAAACATTGAATCATAGCTTCTTAAACCAAGGAAAGGTATTCAGTCTTTACCATGATTTTGTTGTTCTGAACCCCTCCCGTTTTCCAGGATAATAATTTCCCTACGAAACAAGGTAAGATAAGTTTCCAAATTTAAAAACAAAAGGCATGCAACTAGTCTTTTCTTTCTTTCTTTCTCTCTTTTCCTTTTTTTGAAAAAGATCAAAATGATAGGCATGCAATTAGTCTGCTTGCCTTCATTCGGAAAGTTTCGTCAGAATATCTAAACAGGAAAGTAAGCCAATAAAATCAAGCAGGCTCCAACCGACCATGTGAGATAGCATGACATAAAAAGAAAACTAATCTGCATTACCGAAAGGTTGCACAAGCTGCTGTGATACGGTAGCCACAGGAACCCTCCAATACCAGATAAGCAGCACTAAATATATTAAAACCTGCATTGCACAATCAAACGAATATATGTCATGAGAGGCTCAATAAAGAACATATTTAGACTTTTTAAAAACAAATGAAAAAGTGTTATATAATGAAACACCTTCGAAATGAGCAGAACTCTCGAGTATGAATCGTTCTCCTTGCTCTGCATATCTTGATCTGCAATTAAATTCGACCTATTATGCTTCCAGCCCACAGGACTCTAAGACTAGTAAATATCAGAATAGAAAAAGATATAATAACCAAAAATGAGAATAAATTCTAGAGTAATGAAACAGGAGAGACGGTGACTACTACCAATTCACAAATGAGAATAAATTCTAGAGTAATGAAACAGGAGAGACGGTGACTACTACCAATTCACAACTTGTCACTAAAAGTTATTTTCAGCTTTATCCACACATACCATATGGAACTAAATCATAAAAGTAGCAAGACTACTGAAAATTCTACTCTTGAATTATCTTCAATAACCCTAGAGAATTTAAGGACATTAATTTACAAAGAACAGTTTCAAATTTGGGGCATTGCTATCTGTCAGTATGTAATTATAAAGAATGTAGGATATTGCAACAGGAAACAATCTCACAGTTTGCAAGTTCCTTCTCCTTGGTAGCTGCTAATCTTTTAAGCTTTGCAGCTTGCGCAAATGTTGATGGCCTGAAACCACAAAAAACTGACTCAACTCTTAAATACATATTTGAAATTCCAATTTCACGTCAGCATTAAATCGAAGTTATTCCTCTTGTTTAAAAATATTTCTATAAGCAGTCACATTTGCATTGACATCAAAGTTGGATACTACAATTTGGCGACAAAACAAATGTGATGCAAACGGACAGTGATTACAAAATAACAATCTAGTACTTCATTACAATAAACATTTTGAGACTGTTCAGATACTTGACAAAGTTTAAATATCAGTTCACCCAAGAAAATCTAAAAAGAACAAAAAGTTCCAAGTTTCAACCAATATTATAGCTTATTCAAATTCAACAGTCTATACATATGCAGCTCCGGGTAGGTGTGAAATTCTGAGAGGAGAGGAGAAAACTGTGTAAATTAAAAGTTGAGGCAAGCTCATTAGTGAGCTGGGATCAAATTGTTAATGCAACCAGGTCCGGCAATGCCATGTAGTTACTCATTGAGAATACACATGGAAAAGGTGACTACATTTGAGTAGTTTAAAACTCTATCATTTGACATGAGAAAAAATCACAAATGACGAAATCCTTGAACAAAAACTTTGCTCAATAAAGCAGAAGAAAATTAAGCCTCAAGCTAAAAGCTATTACAATTAAAGACCAAAATAACTATAAATATATCGCAAACTGTTACATTCAAAATTCCTTCTTTATTATTAAAAAAAAAAAAAAAAAAACCATGCCTCCTTATCGTAACCTGCTGGAAGTGGGTATTAGCTAAAATACACGGATTACTCACTGTGACAAGGAGCTTGCCTCCTTATAGAGCTCCTTTATTTCTCTACGCAACTGAGCCTCTTTCCCATTCTTGGATCCCTTCTGCGGCAAAAGCACATAACTAAAAGAAATGAGGATTGCAACGAACAATTAATTCATTACAGAGCATATGCTGCTAAGCACATTTGAAAGTTTCTTCCCCTTGGATAAAAACCAAGCCCATAAGAAGTTCCTAAGGATTCAGACTATTCGGTGCAAAAGGATAATATATTGTTGTAAGGAAATTATGTCAATTTTGTCCACAATCTTGTGTTGATCAATTATTAGCACTGGTCGAGGTGCACTTCAACAACTGCAAGAATAAAGCGCAACATATACGAACTGAAGAAAATTATAGTTCATGTTCAGGGTTAGAAACTAGCCAATCCAACTTGGAGCAGTAACAGTTTAATAAAGAATACCACCATCATTAATTCAACTTGGCTGAATGTCGTCAAAACCCAAATGCAGATAAAAGACCTCTGAAATCCTGCCTGTCAGCCATGGAACAACATTTCTTTGTCTATGCCACGTGATATTTAATTCTATTGAGCCCGCTCAAATAGCAAAAGAAATATAATTAAATATGTTCAAACCCAGATTTCAGAGCCATGATCCATATGCTTACAAAAAACTATCTTCCACCAAAAAAAATAAAAACAAAGGAGGAAATGAGGAAACATTCTAAGAACGAGGTTCAGGGAACCGAGAAATTCCCAAATTGGGAAGCATATTTCGAATTCTTCATCTCACGCTTTCTGTTGTCTCCACCGAAGAGAATCTTTGAATGATGAAGATGGTAAAAAGAGGTTCAAAGATTACCTTCTTCAACTGATCAAGCCACCTAGATGCGAGCTGAAAACCAATAACAATCAAAAATATCAGCGGAGCTGCTACCGATCGTTGGTGTTCTAGGGATCCTTCGTCTCCCATGATTGACTATCCTCCCTGATTCGATTTCCACTTTCCAGGTAGGGTACACGCGAAAACGGATTTGGAAGCCAGAACGCCTGACCTTGAGATCTTCTGGCAGGCTCTTTGCTCTTGTTTTCTTTTTGTTTTTTGTTTTCCTTTTGTCCCAAATTTTATAAAACTAATTAATTTACTCTATTAATTTCAATTTCCCCCCGTTATTGCTTCAATTCAATTAAGGGAAATTTCCAAAAACGTACCTAAAAATTTAGAAATGACAAATTAAAGTGTTGAATTTCAATAGCTCAAATCAGTTTATTATGTCAAAATAAAATTTTGACATGTTCGTGATTTTATAATATTATTCTCAATTTTAAAAAAATCAGCCACTCCTACTGGCGGCTAGGATTTTTCAAGAATGGTTATAGTTAATCACGATGAGATTTGATACTAAGAGTTTAATGACCATTCAATAATTAATGCATCTGGCAAAATGGTTAAAAAAAATATATAAGCCAACCATTAAACCTTTGTCAGGTGAAAGTTAACTATTAAACTTTGATTACTACCTTTTTTTTTCAATTCCATTTCATTAACTATTTATTATCGGTAATTGACAACTATTTTTACAATTTTTTAGGTATTTATCATAATAGTATGTTATTTAATGATCATTTTTTCCCCAAATTTCATACTTGTTAAAATAAATGAATAAGGCTCTCCTTTAAGTGATACATAACTTTTGTTTAATAATTCACCATACTTCATTAATTATTTTTCATGTTTTTGCCAAATTAATTATTTACATAGCAATTGACATTCGTTTTTTTTTTAATTCTAAGTTTTGGTCCCCCCCAAAACAAAAAAAACTATTCTCATAATACGAAGTCAAACAGGTCCATTGTCGAGATCATTGTGAATGTATTGTCCATGATAAAAGTTCATATTAGCTAAAAAAATGACTACCAAATGACCATGAAAAATTAGCATTATTAGCGTAGAAAAATTTCAAAGGCTCTTCCCAATATTCCGTTTTCTTCTCCATTCATTATTCACTTGGAAATGAAATGTGATATTTATATGATATGATATACATCCAATATTTATATTTGTTTGCTACGGAAAGCAAAATAAGCATAAAAAATTATTATCCAAACAGTATTCAGGCTCTCATATTTTGAGTTTATAAAAATAACAGAAGACGTAACTATTGATTAATATATTATTATAAACATGGGATAAACATTACAAGAAAAAGAAAGACAACATCGTACCAAATGCTTGGGTTATATCTAGTAGCATTGAGTATTAAATAATTAAATAATGATATATTAATATTGGCAACGTTGGCAAAAAAAAAATACCGGCCACACCACCGGCTTCTTGACCTTCTTGACCGAGTGGTATGTGTATGCGTTTGGGTGTGTGCGTGCAGGTTCAAGCCTGCTTCTTGTATCACCAAAAAAAAAACCGGCCACATTAATAAATATCCATATATTTAGTTATATATAATCAAATTCATAACAACTTATATTACTTATGAGATGATTGGGTCATGTAATTTTTATTTTTATTTTTGATCATTCTGATTTTTTGTATAATGATGCGAGTTAAAATTAATTTAGATGGTAACCATGCTTGATATACGGAGATTTTTTTTTAAAAAAAAACATAAATCTTAGGGAGCAATAACCCGGTTCCTTGTGAAGGTGCGATGAATTTGATGAAAATCCCGCCTAAATCCGGGCTTCAATTCTTATCCCCATCCCGCGCTTCAGCCTAATCCCACAGAATCAGACACACAACACGAAGGGCGAATCATATCTTTGATCTCCTCCTTCCGAAACCGAAACCGAAACCCTACTTCTCGACTTCGTTCCTCTCCAAGATCGGCTTCCATTCCCGCTCGTCCTCGTCGTCTTCCGTCGCTTCGCCTCAAGATCACCATGCCTAAAGCGAATAAGACCCACTCCACAGTCGACGGTAACCGGTGAGTTTCCTCTTCGTTTTGCGATTTCCGTTATTTCTTTCCGGCTTGTGAGTTTCTTTCTTCGACTGTGACGGGCCTATTTGCACGGAGTCGGAACCAACAGTGTATAAATTTTAAGTTATATGTAGAATAGATTACAGCTGTTTCGATCTTACCAGTTGTGTGATTCTGTGTACAATTTCCCGTGCGTAGTGGTTTCATTGTTGTATCTGTTGATGATAATGATTTTTCTATTACGATGAACGTGTTAGGTTGAAGCGCAAGGGCGCTGGAGCAGGAAGCAAGCGGTCGAGGAAACCTGCAAAGGATCCAAACAAGCCAAAGAGGCCTCCGAGCGCTTTCTTTGTGTTTATGTACGAATTATTTTGATAATTTTTCAGTTATGGTTTTGTTCATTATTTTATCGTTAATCAGTTGCAATATTCAGTCGTGTACTTGTGCTTGTAGTGTGCTTTTCGATTATGTTATGCGATAATTATATAATCACACTGCAGGTCTGAGTTCAGAGAGCAGTATAAGAAGGAACATCCAGAGAATAAATCAGTCACTGCTGTGAGTGATTTAATTAATTAGTAGCTTATTGTTTTCAGATCACGGACTAGTTGAATGTTGTATTTAATTCTTTTTCGTTATGTGAAACTGCTTAATTTAGGTCGGCAAAGCTGGCGGTAATGAATGGAAAGCCATGTCTGATGCTGTGAGTACATTTTCCTTTCTTTTGGAAATGATGATTTCGCATTACGATTCAATGATAGAGAACAACGTTGTTTTCCCCCGTAATTGGCACCAAATATGAAGTGATGTTATTTATTATACATAGTGAAACTCTTGATGGATTCTATATTATACAATGGCTATATTGGTGTGTACTAATGAAGGGATTTTGTGGTTTAATGTATAATCAGGACAAAGCTCCCTATATTGCCAAGGCAGAGAAGAAGAAAGCGGAATACGAGAAAACTATTAAAGCGTACAATATGAGATTGGTGATTTACTTTTCCCCCCTGTCGTTTCGTTGCTTGCTTTGGCGTCTGCCATTATTTATTCATTTAGGAATCATCATCTTCTTCTTCTGGCATAATTTAATTATTAATGGCTTTGTGGTTTGATTTGTTAGGCTGAGGGCAAAAATCCTTCAGAGCAAACAGAGTCTGATAAATCAAACTCAGAAGTCAATGACGATGATAAAGACGACGAAGAGGTACGTCTAGTGACATGCAAAAGTTACAGCATGGCCCTGTAAATGTGTTATCCTGATCAGGCTTTTTATTACGTCCAGACTCCATGAACTTCTTATAATTTTTTTAAATGATTAAAGAATTGTAGATAATCATGTGTTGGAAATAATTCTTTAGTATTTTTAAAATTTTAAAATAGGCTTATGGAATTTATGATAACATCCTCATTAAAAAAAATATCCACATCGATCTTTAATATAGTTTTCTTTCTGTATATTTTTTTTTTCTCACATCAGTAGTTACTTTACAATGATGCTTAAATAGCTATATAGAGGATTACGTACTCATGTGACTAATACATTGATTGTAATGTGTTTTTCTTTCTGCAGGAGGAAGAGGCGGACGAGTGAAGATGGGAAAACCGGAAAATAAATATAGGCTTTCCAGGGTAGTCCATAATAATTATGCATAGGTTTGATTATTATATATTAACCATTTTAAGCCCAGAGCTGCATTTGTTGATAAATAAATTGTTTCTGGTGTTGTGCTCGTATACTTGGGTCGGATTAGAGTAGGGTTCATTAGGTTCCTTATCATGATCCTGCAAAGCAAAATACTCATCAAGCGCGGATGATTTTGCTCCAACATACGCATTCAAATTCTTTTATGGATATTTGTTGGGCATGTTCATATTCCTTTTGTTTGATGAATCGCCAATATTCTGAATCTAGTTTCCGTTCATCGGCATGATAATACAGCCAATAATGGAGCATGACTATGTATAGTGTATACAGAGACTTGGTGAAATGGATAGTATTGTTGTTGGCAAAAGAAATGGAATGGATGTTGGAAACGCTGTTAATTTTATTTGGGATCTATGGTATTAATGTTAAAAATATTTTGTTTAACATTTAATTATATGAAATGAAAATGAAGAGTGAAATGACCTCAAGTAACTTCCTTTGACAACTTGTAAACGTGACAATAGATGATAAATTAGGTTAACCATGCATATCAAATCAGTGAGGTTATGTTTCCGGAACGAATGCTAAGGAGCCAAAGCTTTCTTTATCAATTTTTCCTTCTTTATTTTAATTCAAATTTTCTTCCACAACTTTTTATTTGAAAAAGAAAACATTACTGTCAGTTTTCTTGGTCTGTTGCGTTTAACATTACCTAGAAAATCTCTTGCGCAGGGAATTACAGAGGGTTGTCTGAGCTGTGATCGATTATGACTATTTTCCTTTTCTTTTTTTTTTTTGCGCCAAAAATCGATTATGGCTTTTGAAATAACCAAAACTTGTCTGTTCATTCTTTTGTATATCATGGTGCCGGAAACTGAATCTTGATCCATATTGGAATCACTTGAAGATCAGTCAAAACATACAAACTAATATAGTTTCGACAGAATGCTTCCACTTGGGTGTAAATTTGATTTGTACGGAAAAAGTTAATGCTGAGGATGATGCAATTCATCAACCATATAACATTATCAATTGTACCCAAAAAAAAATACCATTATCAAGGACAAAACACATGATTTGACAATTTTTTCCCCTTTTGATTACCAGGGAAGGTTGCTACTTTTAAAGCACTTCAATGTGTAAAATCCAAGAAACTGAGTGCTTGGAAGACTATACTGCATCAATAAAGTAATGTTTGATGTGAAAAACAATATTTTCAGAATAGAAATAGGAAATACACTACCAAAATTATTGTCTTTATAAAAAAACACACGCACATTTTCCCATTAACTTATGTGACAGAGGAGTTAATCGGTACTACTTGTTGGGATGATGTCATCTTCTTGATAGAAGACTGCCAAGTTAGAGCATTGAGCATTGAACATATATGTATTCTTATATTTGGTAGGAGACAGAAGGGCTCAAAATTATTAAAAATATAAAAAGACAATAATGCTCTTATTAAAAAAATTACCCATAAAGTTCTATAAAATTAACCCCGCAAAACAGATCGCACGGCTCCCTCGGTGACGCGTTCCCCGCCAGTTCTCACAGCTCGCCGTCGGATGCCTCACTAAAATTTAAATTTTCTGAACTTTCATTACTAGTTTTTGCTCAAATGGCGTGTAATCGGCTGTGTTACTTCTGCCCTTTCCATTTTGATTGTTAGCGACTTGTATGCTTTGGATTTGTTGTGTATTGGCATTCTGAGTAGATTCTCGATATCTTCGAATCCATTTGGGCATATATGATATAGAGGCAACCTATTTAATTCCTCTGAGAACGTGAGATTTTGAACATTGGCCAGCTTCGATACGGATTGAATGATTAGCCAAGGCGACTATAACCGTAACAGTGCTTCTGATCAAGAGAGAGAACACAGACCTGCTGCTTGTTGGAGACCTTTTGGCAGTACACTGCGGCGTTATAATTAACGAGGGCATGGGGTATCTCTCGCTCCGTTTGTTCTTCTTGACGTTTAATTTCACCATCTCTCCCTTATTTATTTGTTGTCTCCCTTTTCAATGCTCGACTGGTGTTTCTATCTCAATTCTCACATCAAAATTCAGCACCAATACGCAGATCCCTTCTTATTTGATTTCATTTTTGTCTTCCCTTTGGATAGAAGTAACGTAACGCACGTCGGCCATTGCTTGCTACTACTTGCTTGCCGTTAGACTAGTGCGTTCATATTCTTCTCTATCCTTTTTGGGGCCAAATTATAATTATAAATTTAAGTAGAAGAAGTGGATAAACAGCTAATAACTATATTTATTAATTTTAACTACCTGGGTTTTTCTGAATTCTTCATTGTCATTGCAGGTCTAAATATATTTGGTGAATATCTTTGCTTGAGAATGGCCAAATTTTCAATCAGCAATACCAATTATACTTACTTGCATGACCAGAATGATCCTTCTGAGGCAATTGACGTACACCATATAATGGTTAAAAGGAGTGGCGCAAAAGCTCTCTTTGTTTACATCTCAGCGCTTGTTCTATTAGCATCTGCCTTCTATTTCTACGCTTATGGGGTATGCCTTTCGCTTTTCTCCCCTCCTCTTTTCAGGTTTAAATAAATGCTGTGTTCACATATCTTTTTCTGCATAATTGCTAGAATTTTCTGTTCTAAATGTTGATCTTTTGGGCCTATTTTCAAATTTCAGATTAAATAGGGACCCATGGATTAGACTCTGTAGTTCAAATCGGTTTCCCTTTTCACTTCATTATATCTGATCTTAAGTCCCACAATGAACAGGGGAAGTCGATTATCCTTGTCTGTTACAGCTTGCTTTTCAACTTAATATTTGTCAAGATCTTACTTTGGAGGCCTGTTGTGAAAGGTGAGGACCTTCCTAGAAGGGCTTTCTTGCCTGAAAGTTTGATTATTATTCTGATGGCAGTCAGTTAGGAATCAGGATAAATTATGTAATGTTGTTTCAGTTTTGGAAGAAGTTATGTGATCTTCACCTAGTTTGTGTTTCCAAACAGAGTCTGTTGTGATAATGCCAGCTTTTGGAGTACAGATTGAGACTCACTACATGAGGTAATGCTTTCTTATTAATTGATTATTCAGTTAACGCTTAGCTCTTTGTAGAGAGCATGCATGAAGGCTAATATAGGAATGTTTATCATCTGTTCTATTCGTTTGTAATTGTCTCTGTAAGAAGAGGTTAGGTCCATCATGAAAATGAAGTATTGTTGCCAGTGTAGGTTGTTTATGCTTGAGAAACGATATTACTTTGGCTTCCTAACGTCCTTGGTTCAACAGGCATGGATTTTTGAATTGCATAATGGGCCTACTATGGAAATATCTTGTATGTCTTGTTTTGAGCTGTGACCATGTCTTATTTAACTCAGCAAGTTAAAGTGTTTGGCCTTCATAGCGACCCTTACATCTAGCAAAGTGGTTTTGTTTACTATTAGTCATATTATTCTTAAGTTTCATAATCTTTAATCATTTTTAAGATTTTACCTTTCTTTGTTGCAGTGGAAAAGTCACCCGCCACTTTGTTCCCATTGACAAGATTCTGAAACCTGTTTTACTGGAATGTGTGACACCAATAACATGTTACTGGACTCTATCCTTGATTGTTCGCGAGGAACAAGAACTAATGTTGATTTTTAAGGTAAACTTCAATTTTTTTTTTAAAGAACTCAAAGTTTTGAAGTTGCTTGAGACTGTAACAATAAAACACTATCCCATATATTTTGAAGCCTAAAATTAGTAGTTTGTATAGGCAGTTAAATGGCATTTTGTTTGATGATTTTATTTTTGGGGTCTGTCTTAGTAGCTTAAGAGATTGTCATTGTCTTTCGCAGAACTTGCGTCCACCGGTGAAAATGTTGGTCCATGTCTGGAAGGCCTTGTGTGCTGGGACTGATAGCAAAAGAGGCTTGGACAAAAGTGCTGTTGAGAGTTAACTTGTTTATGATGATACTGGTTTTAGATTCTTGAAATATCTCATATTAACATTTTGAGATGTATATACACATTCAAGGCCATACTAATTGTTTGCGAGAAGACATTTGCTTTCCACATCTGAAGCTTTGCGTCAATCTTTTCAATCATTTGTTTGCTCCTTCCAACATCTGCCCCTATTCTAAGGTACTACCCCCGTCTTCTTGCCAGCTTGTAATGAATGTGACTGTTAAAAGCCTTTTGAATCTATGGGGATTGTTTGGGCTGAAGATTAGATCTGGTTGGCTTTCGTTGACCTTCTGGCCTTCGATCGAAGTATTAATTTCTAGTGTTGATTTTATTAGTTGACAATTTTTAAGAGGCTTGAAAAAAGAGGTTGATGTCGTTTGCATACATCAAATGAGTAAAAGGTTTCAATCTTTTGCTAATTTTATTTCATTTCCGACCTTTCAGCTGTTTAGACTTCAAAGACTTTTCATTTTTTTCAGTCCCCATTCTGTATCATTTATGTTTGTTTTCTTGGCAGAATTGAAGACTGCTTTCAAGCAGTTTAATTCATTCATTTAAATCCCCTATCAGAAGCCATTGTCCAGAGAACAAGCTGTTTCATATGATTTCTTGTTGACCACTTGGTCGCTTTGAAGGAATCCGTAAATAAAAATTATGAAGAAAAGATATGACAAGACATCTTGACATTTCACTTCCATCCATTTTCTTGATCTGTCAAGAATTTCATAATTTCATTCATCCTTCCAAGCCATACTGAGATCATCTTCATGAATCAAGAGTGTTTAACTTCTCTTTTGTTGCCAACGTTGAAAGTCTAGTTTCATAGAGGAAAATCAAACTAGCAACTGTTTTTTAGATGAAGCGCCAATGTCTCTCCTAATCCTCAGCAGTTCCTAGTTGAAACCATTTTATGGTACGTGGGAAAACTTGGGTACTGAGATCCATGACCATGTCTTCAATAATGCTAGCTAGAGTGGTTTCTAGTAAAGCATATATTGTTCGAAGGGGTGGGATATAGAGAATCATTACTTTTGTGGCTTTTGGTTGGAATAGACATTGAAACCTATGCCACTATTTGAAAACTGGGGATAGGTCTGAGTTGTCTTATGCTTCCAAGCACTCTTAGGAACTGGGCCATTCACAAAAGGGTAAAAAGGTCTCTAACAGTGTTTTGCAGGAAATTAGAATCCTATTGAACAAAGTGGATACCATGGATATTTATGACCAGTATTTAGCAGTAGAGAGGAAAGGCTTGTGGAGGAGGAGAGTGATGCAGTCATGGTGGTCCGTTTGGATCAAGGAGTTTGGAACTATGAGGGAGAAGACGCGTCTTGATTGGTGCCTTGTAATTGTATAATAAGGTTATTTGTACGAATCTTTTGTAAGTGGTGGCACAATTCAATATTCAAAGCAGCTTTGAGGAAAGTTTTCTTGTGGCTTTGTCCAGACAAGGGGTTGCATGGACCATTGCACTCCACCCCTTTGGATTTTGGAATCTCCACTCTTGTACTTCATATTCATCTACAATACTTAATTTCCTTCTATTGTTTATTAAGTCCCGGATAAAATCTCATGCATTTTCTTACTAGGCGGAAAAGTACGGAATAAATAAGATTGATTAACAAGGGGGAAAAAATAAAATCACTGCATTTTTATTTTAAATATCAAACAAGTATTTTTTTATTGAAAACACATGTGAGGTACTGTCAGACACTTAAATATAAGCAATTTTTTTTTTTCAATTGGATTTGCATAATAGATATCCAATTTCTTCCTGTTACCTTCTCAGGCTGATAGGGTCAGCAACCAAGTCTTCTTGATGCTGTTGGTTGGGACTTATTTAACGCTGGAAGGGATTTTCAGAATACAAAAATAATTTGAGAAGTCAAAGTAGTATGGAAAAATTATTTGATTGAACTAATAAAATGAAAATTAAGCATTATTTTCAGAATACAAAAATAATTTGAGAAGTCAAAGTAGTATGGAAAAATTATTTGATTGAACTAATAAAATGAAAATTAAGCATTATATCTGATTCTTTTTTTTTTTTTTTTCAAAAAAATATTGCATTATGTATGAAGTATACAAGGATAACCCAGGTGTGTAAATTAAGTTAATTCTATCTTTTCTACCAATAATTACTACCTCCGATCCTTAATATAAGACCTTCTTTGACTTTTATTTTGGTCCTAAATATAAGATCTCAGTCCACTTTGTCTCTTATATTTATGCATTTTTTCCTAAGGTAGTCCTTCTAATAATAGTAGTTTTAACCAATACACTTGATTAGTAAAGATGTTTTAGGAAAAACAACACTTATTTATTACAAATAACTAACTTAACTTTTTTTCTTAATTTTTTCAAATTAGTCAACTAACTCTTGTAATTAGGATCGAAGGTAATAATTTCTAGTACTACTTTCGAATAATGCCAAGCCTCGGAAGGAAAAAATTCTTAGACTACAATGAAATAATAAAATTAGCATTCAAAAATGAAATGGAGTACGGGCTCCTCTTCAATGAAAGAGGCACAAGTATAATGTGTTTGGTAACAACTTATATATTTCTCAGCTCAAAAAAAAAAAACTTATATATTTCATTATATATGGTACAACGAACGCTTTAATAACATGATAAATATATCCCAATCTAAATAAAACACTTTAAAAATACTATTTAATAAATATATTAAAATCGATTTGAATACTTGAAGATATCTTCCAAGTTAAATCAAAATATATAATTAATTATTACGAAATAATTATCTAGATTCACAGATTTAGATCGGAGAACCCGACAAATAAAAATAAATAAATAAATTTAGATCTGAGGAGAAGTAATGGCTTTTCAGTATATTTATTGAATTATTGAATTTTTCCCTCTGGTAAAAAAAATTATTGAATTTTTCCCATTTGAGAGATACTCAAGTAATTAGAAATTAACTTTTTAGCGTTTAACAAAAGCAACTAACCGTCATTTAATTTCTTCATTTTATTGGCCAAACATTATATCAAAAGTGGTTAGAGTATTAATTTTCTAATGGGTCAACCTTTGAAATTTAAACTTGATTTAAATGAAAAAAAATATATCCTTTTACATGAGATAAGGCTTAGTTATCAGATAGTACTTTTACATGTATCCTGATCCTTCTAAAATTCCGTTCTAATCATAAATCAATCTATAAATAAGAGCTCATCCGCCCACAAAGATCGTCAAATAATCTCAAAAAGAAGACTGAATAAGATAATAATGGAGATCAAGAAGTCGAAAGATGAAAGAATTTCAACTTTGCTTGAGGAAGCCATAGCTTTTCATAATGAAGTTAACGTTAAGCTTGGCGACAGCCATGAAGGTTACAGTTACCAGACATTTGCCGATGCTGTCTGCAACTATGCGAGCAGCCAGAACATCGTACGTCGCTCAGTTTCTCAGATCTTCAACAACCACGAAGATTTACTTCGTAAGTTCGATAGGTTCCTCTCCGATTCTCATCATCATCGTCATCAGGCAACATCATCGTTTTCTGAAAGTATTCCTTTGGAAGATCAAAAAGACGCCAAGGCTTTGGAATCACAAACCATAAAGTTTTTGATGAAACTAAGGAACAGAATGGGCGATGATGGCGTCGCCGTGTTCGTGTTTGAGTTTCAACATGACTCTTCGACGAGAGGATTGGATGAGACGAAGATAAAGTCTGTAGCAGAAGAGTGTCTGGGGGAGTTTCCAGATTTAATGGAAGAATTTGATGATATATATCAAAGATACATTGAAGTGGATCGGATCTTTCTACGAACACATGAGGGCATGAACAATTTCGATCGACTCATAAAATATGCTTTTGCCAGATATGAACACGCCAAAAGCCGAAGAAACCTGGACTACTGCTAAATGACATTATGCTCCATTGCAGAAATCTGAGAGCTATACCACGTCCAATGCTATCTAGTTAGATTCAAGGCTTTATACACACACACACATATGAGTCAGATTTGAATATTGTCAGATTTAATTGAGTTTAATAACATTGGGTATTTCTTTGAATGGAATTGAGTCTCTTTCAATAAGATGATCACTGTTTAATTTTTGTTTGCTTGTATCATTTAATGTAGATTTATTAATATAAGTTTAATGGTATCATATCATCCATGTAGCTAACTCTATCTAGCACTCATTTAAGTTTTGAATATGACTTTTTGCGGATAAAAGTTGCTTTAGTTTTTTTTTTTTAAGTTTTTAAAAATCAATTTGGATTTTAGAATTTAATTTGGAATTTGATTCATTTAATATATAATTACGTGTGGTTTGACCCGATAAAATTGTATGAACTCCTAACTTGCACGCATCTTCAATGATAATCATAATCTTGACGCAGATCGAACCATAGAAAATGTAAGATGGGTTCTTAATTATTCATAATCAAATTATAAAAATGCAATTAAAAACTTGATGAAAATAAGTCCATTCAACTTGTGGCTTGCTGGTGAGGGCATCTCATTGTCCACAAAACAAATAGGTAAAAGTTAATTAGGTAGAAAATAAATACTTCATGAAAATTTTCACTTGTCCTGATTTAATTAGAATAAACTATATTATGTATATTTGGCAAAACAGTTGCCTAGGTATAAAAGTAATATATAAGTTTTTTAAAAATATGTTTGATTGCACTTTTTTCAGTCAAATTAAGATAAGTGAAATTTAAATGTTTTCGAAATAGTCTTAAGGTAAAATGAATATTACGTAATAAAAATACATATTATGAATGCAGAGGATCCTTACATATAAATTGACTTTTGATGGCTTAAGATTTTCTTAATTACAATTTTGTGATGCTCTTTTAAAGTAAGAGAGAGACGAATATAAAAAGGAATGGTAGGTAAATATGGAAGAAATTCATCCCACATACATATAATCATACTTCGTGTCATTCACTTTCTTATTTTAGAGATATTTTGGAATTAAAATTTCTAACTTAGAATTTTACCTTATAAAGTCCCATTTCCTTTTTCCTCCATGAAAATGACAAAAATTCCTGAAAAAATAATAAAGCGGCACATAATCTTTTGTTACATATTTTTTGAGGGGATGTTTATAATTTTGTAATTTTTTGGCTTTTGCATTCGGTATCTAGAGTTATATCAGATTTAAACCATGCTGAGTTGAGTATGATACCATCACAAGAATGGCAAACTCTCTCCTAATAAGTCTTTGCACTGTATAAATAGTGAGTAAGCTAATACAGCATACTAGTTAATTCATATGCTCAAAGTTTTGTACCATTTTTGTTTTAAATATAAGATTTCTTTTATAATATAAATTATACTATAAAATGGATTTTACATTCAAGATTGGAAGAGTAATATTTAAATATATGAGCCATCATTTTTGTGAGAAAATCAAAAACCAAACACACACACATATTGACTTTCTTCGAGATTATAAAAATTAAATAATTAGAAAAATCAGCCAAGTTAGAAAAATAGAGCTAAAAATTAAGTGATTGTTTTTTCCTCCAGTAAGTCAGCTACTCATTATATTCTTCACATAGAATTTGAACTCACCTTTAAGTAAAAAAAAGAGAGAATCACAATAAAATCTCAAAAAAAATAATTACAAAACAAGTCTCAAAAGTTATTATTTTCTATTTTAGAACTTGTCATTACAGGCTGCTTAAATTATTATTGAAATTTTTTATAATATTTTTTTTTAGAAGTCATTGTAATTCTTCCAAAAAGTAAAGGAGGTATTTGATACAATAGGGCAGGTATGAGTATTTTGTTTTAGTGATGATGAAGAAAATTACCATTAAGAATGTTTCATATTCATGCAGTCCAACATATATATATATATATATATATATATTATGGGTGTCTTCTATGTATAAACATGAATAATGGTATGATTTGGGTATCATGTTAATGGGAGGACCATTGAAAATGTTAATTTTGGTTCCAGGGACAGACCAGGATTGAAAGGATTTGACCAGGGGCCGAAAAAGAAGAGTTACTCAGAGAGAAATGAACAGCAGTAATTGGTGTGTTTGTGGGATTGCGTCTTTTGGGGCTCTTATTACCGTTCTAGAACCAGAGCCAATCGAAATTATCTGACATTATGCGATTATATATATAAAAGAGAAAGATCTTTGGTTTTCTTGTTACCCTGGATTTTCTTCCCCACACACAACCCTTTTCTCTCTGAAAAACCCTAATTATAGCTCTCGCCGTATATCTCTCTATCTTTCTTTACTACTCATCAAGATCAGGTACTTGTGGCCCCTCTCCCTTGTCAATGGCACTGATTCTTGTTGCGAAATTTCGTTGAACCGGGTTTCAGTTTCCATTGATTTGTGCAATTCTATGCGATCGGGATTCATCAAGTGTGGGTTCTGATTAATTCTGTTCCTTTGCTTTCTTTGATTGCTAGATTTTGTTTCTGGAATTGAGGAGGTGATATTCTTGTCTGCATGGGTTTGGTGTTTAGATATATGAATCAAATTTCTTTATGTCTTTGATCTTTGACTCTGGTGCTGAATTATGCATCCATGGCGCTCTGTTTGGATGCCAAGAATACTGGGGTTAGATGAAGATGGACAATTGATGTATTCTGCTATTTTTCTTCCTATTTTAATATAAAAACTAACGCAAACAAATCAATTATTCGTATGAATCATTTGTTTTGGATTGGGTTGAGCTGATCTTATTATTTCTCTTTGTTTAGGAAGCAAGCGTTGAGATGAGTCCAACATCTTCTTCGCACGGTGGTTCGCAACAATCCAACAAATTAGCAGCATGACCAGTGCGGGAATTGGTGTTGGTTCTGTCCAGGGTTTGTAAAGGAACTTGTGGGTATTTTTTTCTTCAAAATCTTCATTCAACATCGATGTGGACTTGGGTTTGTGAATTAGATCGTGAAAGGTATGATAATTGGGGCGATGATGGAATGCCAATAGAGCAGTGATTAAATTAATGTGAAGATTTATTTGTTATTTCTGAGTTTTGGAGTAGCATGGACAACGGATGCGATGCAAATCACTTGGATGGTGATGTTCTTTTGCCTCCTCGGAAGCGCCTTCTTGCTGGATTGAAGAAACAGAGTTCTGATGGTGACCCTGCTGCTTCTCCATCTCTACCTGCTGCTTCCAGTGTTATCACTTCCGAGGTCGCTTGTCCTTCTTCTGTATCTGTTTCAGGTGAATTTGAGGCACGCCTTAAGCATATATTGAATTCTCATTCAAATAACCCTAACCTCACCCCTGAGGAGATCGCGGAGGCCTCAAAAACAGCGGCTGAAGCCGCAACTAAGGCTGCAGAATCTGCAAGAGCTGTTGCTGAAGAAAAAGCTGCTAGAGCAGCAAAGGCTGTTGCTACAGCCAAGAGCGCATTAGATTTGGTTGCATCTATTTCTGAAGAGGCAATCACGAAGGATAGAAATCTGAAAAAGAACAAGCTAAAGAAGCATTTGCCAGTTCAGCTGTTGTACAGAAAAAACCAACCCATGGAAAGTTGTACGAAAGATGAAGAATTAGCCCGTAAGTTACACCGAGCCATGAACAGCTCGCCCAGAATCTCAAAAAATTCTCCAAATTCAGATTCAAAAGGGAATAAGCACAAGAAACCTAAAAGCTCTTCAAGCTTTGAAATAACTGAGGTCTCTGATGCTGGTATGGCCGTGGGACAAGATTGCTTATCTTTGAACAATGGACATGCATCAGGAGGCAAAAATGGCTATGAAGTTTCCATCCAAGAGGCATGCTCAAACAAGGAAGATAAGAAGGGTGGCAGAAATGATAAATCCAGCCAAATGGAGATATATAATGGGGAAGCAGAGTCTAGCCAGTCAAAAGAGAAAATCTCTGAAGATTTGTCTCCCACTGGTAAGAAAAGGGGAAGGGTGAAGCTCAAAAAGTTGCCCTTAAGCATTTGCACATCTAAAGATAAGGCGCATCCAAAGGAAGAGAGAAGGGATGGAAGCTCTTCTCTGAGCGATATCAATGCAGACACAGATGCCCTTGTTAATATACCTTTGTTTCAAGTTGAATCATCCACTGAGAGAGTGATCCCAATTGAGGCTACATCAATGTGGAAATGTCAGGAGTTCAAGGCACCAGCATGTATCAAGCAGAATAAAGTTGTGCAGTCATAATATTCAAATTACATTGTGACAAGAATGGGGCCTGTCATGATAGGAGCCGATAGCTGAGGTAGGAATTATGATGCTTTGTTTTTTTTTTTTCTTTTCCTCTTCTCTTCTCTTCTTTTCTTTTCTTTTCTCATAAATGGCCTTTTATCTTGTTCATCTTTTGTCTTGTATTGAATTTCTGCTGACTAATGTATAATTAGATTGTTAGTTTCCTGCCATACTTCTCTCATTTTAAAGTTGTGTACCTTTGATTGATAACAAAATATGAGTTTAGATGGAGCAATGGAGTGAATTTGAATAGCTTTTCCATTGTGCTGCATATGCTATCCAGCATTAGTTCTGAGAAATGAGAATAATGTATTGAAAATCTGAATCTTCTATTCAGAGTTCAGACTTTGGCTGAGCTGCTTATTTTTCTTTTACTGATTTATTTATTGGCTGCTTCTTTATATAAGAAGGTAATTAATCGGGGAAAGGGTGATCAGCTATCGGGGATTTATTGGCTGTTCAAGTATAATGCCCATTGAATGAACTTCTCTATGATTAAGCAACGGAGACACTTTTGACTGAAATAATAATAATTACTTTCCTGGCAATAAGTAGGGAAAATGACCTCGTTGCTGCTGTGCTGCTCCTGCAATTATCAGCATAGCCGGGGAAGGGCTAGTTTTGGCATTTTGTAATCTGGAAAGGATTAATGCTTGTTTGGCATACTATCTGGCTTCCATAAGATCTGATTGGTCAGTCCAAGCTAAGTTTCAATATTTTCGAGTTCATGTTTACCGAGAACTCCTTGGCAGCCGATCTGATAATTTGAAAGTTTCAATGTCTATTCTTGACTTCAAGGTCCCCGCACCCACCCCAAAAAAAAAAAAAACTACTCCGACGGCCCTAAATATAAAATCTTTTTGTAATCTTATATTTAAGACGGAGGAATACTATTCACTTTGTTGTCTGAATCAGCATGCTTGATGACTCCAGAGAGCCTTAACGTATGTAGAGGAATTATTTTTAGCATACAAGATGAAGTTGTGAAGGATAATTAGAATTTACACATTTGATTCTTTTTTTTTAAAAAAAAAAAGGCAAAGGAAGGCTGCAAATTTTAAATTAATCCGTTTCGATCGTTTTTTCTATTACAAATTTTCAACCTCATTTTTTCATCTTTGCAAAATGGGAACTCATGAAAACCTCCGTGCTCTTCCTTGTCTTGTCTAACCAAACAGTAAAAATAATAGAAATTATAAATTGGGTAATATACTTCCGGTTCTAATATAAGACCAATTGACTTTTTTGAGGAGATTAAGGAAGTAAGTTAAGTTGGTTATTTATAATAAATAAGTGTTGTCATTCCTAAAATACCTTGCTAATTCAGTATATTGGCTAACTCTTTTTTTTTTTTGTCCTTTTCATAGTGATTGATATCCCTCAATTCAAAATATAATTTTATATTAGTTTTTTTATTTTCATCTTATAGAAATCTAAATTTTAATATTGTCTGTTATGAGGAATAACTTCACACTATTATTTTTTCATACAAAAATATCATCTACATTCTTAATATAAAATCTTTTGTAATTAGATGTTATATTTAGGATAAAGAGGTAGAACAAAAATATTAAATTGAGTTATCATATAAATTAAAAAAAAGGCTCTGAAATGTCTAGCGCAGAATAGATTTTTCACGGACGCAATGCTGACACGATATACTTTCTTTGCGATAAAACATCCCGATAATATTTTTACAGTAAGAACCTTATTGACGCTCACAATACGAGAATGTTGCACTGTTAAAAATTGCCAGGTCAATGTACATTATAAAATTTATAAGGACTTTGTTTTTAAAATGTGAACAGTGATACTTCATCTCCTATGGTTCGGTGTAAATGCTCTAAACTAGACCATAATTTGTTTTTAAAATGTGAACAGTGATACTTCATCTCCTTGTTCGTTGTAAATTCTCTAAACTAGACCATAATTAGTTTTTGGTATAACCTATCCAAACACTCTTCTCATCAATACTGGAAATTGCATATATTATTATTTCACATAAACTACATAATACCCACAACAACATCTCTATGGTACCCTCTATTGTCTTTCCTATATCATTCCAGCTTCAAATCATCAGAATGACCATTGACCACTCGACAGTTCTTCCGGACCTCACCGGGACGACCAGATTGGAACTCACCCATTTTCAGCATCCCATTAACAAAATCTTTAAAGAATTGACTTTGATCCCTACTATAGAGTTTCACAAAGCCTCTAGTCTGAGGGAAAGTGAAGAGTGTTTGATCAGAGTTCAAAAACCCTCTGCCGTGAACCAAGTCCTTGAAGTATTGATTATCAAACACACGGGGTGTGGCATCAAGGTCACCTGTGACATTTTGGTCGACATTGAGGGGACATAACTGGTCAAGCTTTTCTCTGAAGCATGGTTCAATGGCAGGGTCAGGTTTTCCAGAACCCAGACTGGTTGTAGAGCCTGAACATGATGGAGAAGCAACGGGGCTTGGCCTATGGAGTGAGATCCTGAGAGGGCCACAAGGTCTCTGATGGTTAGGTTAAAGTTTTAAAGAGATCAATGAGGGCACTCGCATTGGCTCTTGGACTGGGCATTATGTTGTTTGAGTCTTCTTGGCTAGCACTTAGGCTGTCCAGTCTTCCCAACCTCACTTCCAATCAGGCCCTCCTGTCTACAATCCATGTTTAAGAACTATTATTGGCATATATGACTAAAAAAAGGTGAATAAAAATTTTAGATAGACGTGCAAAGACTTAGTTCTGCATAATATCGCGCAGTAAATGCAAATGGATGCAATAATGATCGGGCTATTGATAAAAAGAGAAAATTTGGGAGAGTTGTTATAGTTATGTGCAACTTAGCCAAAGTTTGATGCAGTACTGCATATTTTAGTTTATTATTAAAAAAATAAACGGGTTAAATCCTGAAATTTTGCATCATATTCATGTAAAAAAAAATTACTTTAATTTTTACTGAATAGATCTGAAAATATATATATATATATATATGAAAGAAGAATAGTAATATACTCTTGAATCAGATTAAGCCGTTGTATAAAAATTAAAAAAAAATTAAGGCGTGTTTCTATTGAGGTGTTTTGGAAAATCAAACTAAAAATGTTAAAATCCATCAATAATCATTTTGACTTGTTTAGAGTTTTCTTTGACTGAGACAAGTGATGACCAATTCATTAACTAATTCTCTGATAAAATCGCAGGCCGATTTTCAGATGTGTGTGTGGGGCAAGGAAGGTGAAGGTATAAGTTAGAAAGTACCAGTGCGACGGCGTCTCTGGCGGCCATTATGATGATATCTGCACACGAAACAACTCCGGGGCATGCCTTTTCCAGTTCTTCCTTCACTTCGTCGATCACTTCATATGATCTCAGCGAATTGATATTCGACAGCGCCAATTTCTCTCCCAGCATCGTTGGCGTGTCATCCAGGAGCATCGAAGCATCACAACCCTTCACAAATCGAGGTTTTCATCAGATTCAATCTATTGTTTTATCCAAATCTCACACCGTTTAAAGATTCAGTCTTGTCTTATTGAAGATTTTCTCAAGGGACAGTGAAAGAGTACTAGTGAGCGACTCACGTTTACAAAGCAATCATGGAACTGGAATCGCATGACGGAGGCCACGCTTCTGGGCTCCCTGATTAGGGCTTTTTTCATGACGTCTCGGACAATGGATTCGGCGTCAGGGCATGTGGTCTGATAAAACCCTGGTCGGAGATCAGCAGACACCACCGTCGCAGCATATAGGAGAAAGATGAGAAAACAGAGATATTATCGCCATGGTCGATCGCTGCAAGAAAAGTTGAGGAAATGCGCTCTTGAACTCCATAAAGTGAAGCAGGGGAATCCTGGTCTCGCTGGAATCTTGTGCCGGGGCGAATGAACATGCGACGACTGTATTGAGTGCGATGTGAGGTCAGAATCACGAATGTCGATACACTCACAGGGCTGGACCATGTCGGAAGAGGATACTCTCAGCGGCCCTCTCTCTCAGCGTCCCTCTCTCTCAGCGTCCCTCAGCGTCCAAATTATGGCCGTTGAGATTCATCTGAGAGCGCATGATGTGACATATTATTATGCTATTAAAAATTAAAATAAGTTTTATTTATGTTGTAAAATTTTTTACCAGCTTTGATTTTTTTTTTTAAGATTTTTTTATTATGGAATATCCAATTTTTGCACGTAGCTTATTTCAACTAGAGAATTGACGAGAGACTCCAATAAATTTTACAGTTAAAATAAGTACTTCTTGTTCTATTTATAAAGTACTTTTATATTTTACACAAATCAAGAAAATCTTAAACTGTATTAACTCTTTGTTAAAATATAGCAACTTTTTCATTTTATCTCTATTTAATATATACACATTTTAAAAAAACTATATACACTATAATAAATTAAGGATAATATGGTATGTTCATGATAAAAATTTAATAAATTGACTTATAAATAGAATTAAAAAAAATCTTCTCTCTCTATCTTATAAATAGAACGAGAGGAGTAGGTCCAAAAATTTAGGTGTTCCATTCCAAAAGAATAGTCAAATTTATTTTTAATTTTAATAGCATGATGATGTGGCATATTATGAGCTTTTAGATCAATCTGGACGCATCATATTGAGACGCTGAGGGACGTTGAGAGGGAGGCCGCTGAGAGGATCCAGACCCGGACCATGTCTAGTTCTTTTTTTTTTTTTTACCGGAGCACCATGTCTAGTTCTGAAGATTGTGCAAATTGCATGTGTTACATTGGGTCTGCTTGATTAGCAGTTAAAAAAAAACTTATTTTAAATCTGATTTTTTAAAAAAAGATTATATAAAAATTAAATTAATAAGATAATTTGTGTTCAGATTGACTTTTATAAAAATTAGTTTGTAGAGTAAAAAAACTGTTTGGATTATAAGGACATATTCATCTCATCTTATTTATAAGGCACTTTTAATATAATTTACACATATTAAGAAAAATATTAAACTGTATTGATTCTATTTTTAAATATAATAATTTTTCACTTTATCTCTATTTAATATATATTTCAAAAATAATCATTTATACTATAATAAATAAAAAATAAAATAACATATTCATATTAAAAATTTAAAAGGTGACTCATAAGTAAGGTTAAGAAAAATTTCCTTCTGGCTTATAAATATGATCGGAGGAGCATTTGAAATCAAAAGTGTATTTGTAACCTATTTATTACTTTTAATTAATTTTAAATAATTTTTATTATTCATAAAATTATTTTTAGCTTGTAATAAGAATTAAAAAGAGTAAAAATTTCTCAAAGGTGGAAACCCAATTTTTTTTGGATAATTAATTTGTAAATCCTTATAACTTTAACTAATTTTGAATTAGGCCCCTATATTTTTTCTTTTATCAGGTCCTTCTACTTCCTTATAGTTTTTTCTTTTTTATCAGGTCCTTATACTTTTACTAGTTTTTAATTAAGTCCTTGTATTTATTTTTCTTTTATCAAGTCTTTATAAGTTCATTTTATTTTAATTAAGTCCTTAAATTTTTTATTTTTATTTTATAAATTCTAATAATACTATTCTATTAACACAAAATAGTACATGTTATTTAATATTAGTTCATAAAAACAATATTCTAAAAATAATGAATTATTATAATAATTTTATTTTTGCCAGCGAGAAAATATTAATTGTTCTAAAAAATTTCCTGTATTAGTTAATTATATTACTTTTTTTATTATATAATTATAAATTTAATTTAATTATCAATATTTTATGTTTCAGTATTAATCTATTTAATTAATTTTATATTTAATTAATAAATAAAATTTAAAACTACATGGACCTGATTAAAATTTAGTGAAATTATAAGGACTTAATAAAAAGAAAAATAAATTCAAGGACCTAATTAAAAATAGCTAAGAGTATAAGAACTTGATAAAAAAAAACTATAAGAACCTAATTCAAAATTAGTTAAAATTATAAGGACTTGCAGATCAATTAATTTTATTTTATTTTAACTTCTCTCCACCTCTTAACACTTCTCACTTTTTTCTCTCCACGATTGAAAAGCATAAGTAACCAATTTATATTTTGACTTATCTGGGCTTTATTTCATCAATCACACGATTTCTCATTGATATCGCGCGATTACCTCCCAAAGCGACTTGACAAACAAGCTCATTATTGATTATACCACTGCTTCTTTTTTTTTTTTTTAAATATAAACCTAATTAATTAATTTAAGTATATAAAAAATATGTTATTTTTGTAAAATATTTCTACTACTCAAATATATTAGCTATAACAACTATTATTATAAGGATTATTTAAAAAATAAATATAAAAGACAAAGTAGATTGAGTTTTATATTTAAAACCAAAATAAAAATAAAATAAACTTTTATATTAATAACCTAAAGTGGTATATATAGAGAGAGAATCCCTTTGTTTTCTTGAATATTCAAGGTGAACTATGCTGTCTATACTTACTAATAACATTATGAATTATAAATTTTATATAATTCATAATATGATGAAAGGTTACATTTTTTTTTGGATAACATGAAGGATTAAGATTTTAAAATGAACATTGTTGAAAATTTGTAGGCGCCGATTGCATTTTGCTTGAAGAAATCCTTTTTATGGAAATGAAAATGAGTGAGAGGACGAGCAAAGGAATGAAGAATGTCCTATAATATGAAATAAATATGTTTAATAGGGAAATTATTGTGAAATTTCATAAATAGTGTTGAATGACAAATTTCAGGAAAAAAAGTGATAATCAGTCCATATTACTCACTTGTTAGGAAAATCTTTTGATGATTATATTTTTTAATTGCATTTATAAAAAATTTTCCATGCCGCTTAATTATAAAATCATTAATATAATAATGTATACACTGGACAAGGTTTCACTCACACTGCACGGGTAAGAAAGGTTAGTAAAATTGGAAAAAAAAAACAGAAAAAATGCACAGAAATCAAGGGCAAGAGGGAATGTGTGGATAGTTACCTGTGATTTTGATTTTATTTACAGTATTGATATTGATTGATTGATATTTTTAGTAGTTTTTAGATATTTATTATTTCTTTAATAAAAACAAGTATGATAAAAAAAAAATCACGATTTCCATTAACGCAGATTACCAATTCATTCCCGCGATGATGGGGTTTGATCTGATCGATTCTGATGGATAAGGCATTGAACAGTGTTTGATGTTGGCTCCTCAAATTATGCGTTGGAGAAGGCCCCCAGGTCAAATATGGAGGTCACCGTGAAAGCCACTGCCTCCTAAAGGGAAACCCCATCAGATTTGGATCGTAAGCAAATACGCAATTTCTCATCTGTGGATGGCCCATTCCCTTTTGACTTTCTTACCCCCACTGTCCTTCTCATGGGGCGGCCATTGCTTCTTTTTCTTTTTCTTTTTTTTTTTTCAAAGATTATTTTATATATCCATTTACCTGGTGGTGGAACATGAGGATGGCCCTAACAAATCAGTGAATCACCCATTCCTTCATCTATGTTTTTGTCACTTAGCAAGCACTACAAGCATATTTTGAAACCCACATTCATTCTCCTTTTATTACTATTATTATTATTTGGGCAATTTAACCCACTTTCCATACTAGTACACTAATCTTCTTTTTTTTTAATGTATAGATATCCTCTCGTTAGAGATAATTCTATTCAAAACACCGTCATATATTAAATACAGGCATATCTTTTAATAAAAATTCAAATCTTGATTTGTTTCATTGAAGGATTAGTTTCTTTTTCTATGATCAATTCTTATTGATTGATCATATACTTGTCTTTTATTTTAATTATTTAGAATATAGAATCCACAGTCCTTTTTTTTTTGAGATATGATGTGGGGTACTACTTGAGTTAAAAATTCTTAGCAAAACACACATTCATTCAACTTCCTATTATTTCAAGAACTCTTTTAGGACACGGCGTGAAAAAGGGAAGGCCAATAAATTCTTGGGGTGTGAGTAATTAGAGGGGACCAATTTATGGTTTTGGTGAATTACCGTTGTTGATTCACTTGATCCATGGATCAAATGAAGCCTACTTTGTCCCTCACGAGTCAGGATGTGCCTTTTCCTTTTTTGAAGTAGAGGCGCAACTTATTCATTTTCTTGTGAAGGTGTATCTTCTTTAGCTTCAGACTTCAAAGGAAGCTGATTGTTTATATATTGATCCTCTTTTGTAGTTTTCCCATTCTGTCACTTGTTTAATATATTTACTTCAATTTGTGTCATCCACACAAGTTTTTTTTTTGTCAGTTTGAACATTACTTTGGTCCCTTGTTTTTTTTTTCAAATATTTTTCTCTCTCTCCTGTGATTGTGTGGTTTCGATCAATTAATTTTTCATATTTAATTGTTTCTTGATTTCACATCCCCAACCTAAAATAATTTATATTCTAACTGGTTTGACAAAGATTTCATAAGAAACAACTAGATGAGCAATATATTGTATTTTGACTGGTTCAACACTTACCACCACATAATTTTTTTAAAAAAAATGTTCTAACGAAAACATTTAAATAAATAATCTACAAGCAAAACAAAAAAAAGTATTTTGTGAATAATCTCCGTATCCATTATTATATTCCTACATCAAAGCGAATAATATGATCAAAGAATATAAAATTTATGGGTTTTAAGGTGTTTCTCTAGCATGAATCAACAAATAACATTTCACCAAATCCTCCATTCAACGCTATTTTGAACATATAACATGCCTATCCTATTACAATATCATAATGCTTTGC